GTCCAGTGGACTGTCCTCCTTAGTGCTGGGGTTAAGGCGTGAGTCTCCACTGTCCAGTGGACTGTCTTCCTTAGTGCTGGGGTTAAGGCGTGCGTCTCCACTCTCCAGTGGACTGTCCTCCTTAGTGCTGGGGTTAAGGCGTGATTCTCCACTGTCCAGTGGACTGTCCTCCTTAGTGCTGGGGTTAAGGCATGCGTCTCCACTGTCCAGTGGACTGTCCTCCTTAGTGCTGGGGTTAAGGCGTGAGTCTCCACTGTCCAGTTGACTGTCCTACTTCAACACTAGTTTTCACCTCTCACTTTTTCATTCTTTGTTCAATAAAAGGATGTTTAAATCTATGACCTCCACTGCATTTTCTTTGTCTATAGCTACCCGGCTTAATGAAATGAATAGATGAAGTTTTAAAAGTAGACATTTGGGAAATCTCAGTGATTTCGCATGAGAAATATGACAGCTGAATGTAAAGCGCGATTTTGTTTTGTTTTGAGACAGAGTTTCTCTGTAGCTTCGGAGGCTGTCCTGGAGCTCACTCTGTAGACCAGGTTGGCCTTGAACTCAGAGATTCACGTGCCTCTGCCTCCTAAAAGCTGGGATTAAAGGTGTGCACCACCACTGCCCAGTGTAAATAAATAAATCATGCTGGCACAAACCTAAGTCTCGAAGAAACCCTTATGAACAAAACATTATCTTCTGCCATAAAGATAAATAAACCTCAGTTTCATCACTTAATAAAAACCTTGTAAAAATTATTTGCCCATGACAAAAAGGAGCTCCTTAACCAAGATTTAAAAACCAAATAATGCATAGAAATAAATTCTGTTATGGAAAACAACATGAAATCTACAAATGAATGATAATGAATGAAAACTACATTTGCAGCCAGGTTTGGGTTATATAGGCTTATGTTACCAGGACCTGCGAGGCGGGGGCAGGACCCACCGCACTACATAGCAAGCCCCTCCCATATGTCTATAACAAAATGGTACTGTGCTCTGTAAAAGTCAGACATTGTCAGGAAAACCATTCAAACCAGTGGTCAAGACAAGTAACAGTAGCAATAAACAGGAGCACTGCACACAAGGATTCAAGATTAAGAATTGTTAATACCTTTAGAGAAAAACCTAGAGACACAATGTCCACTACTGCGGAAGTCACAAAACAATCTTCTTCTCCTCAAGAAATGGTAAAAGCAAGTTTTGCTGTCCACCTGGAAGCTAGGTGTATAAACTGAATGGCAGCAACGCAGCTTCTACTGGGAAGCTTCGAGTTGATATGTTGCCCACTCTCTTTCTTTCCACTTTGAAGAAGGAAAGAAGCATCAGGCAGAGCTCAACAACGAATGAGCAGAGACCCCCTCCTTCCTCTTCACTTCTCAGGACACCTATTATGATCTGTACAGGGTAAGACCTGAGATTCTGTGTTTCTATAGCACAGGCAAGACTAGAGTGGTAAACAAAGTGAGACAAGGCTAAATAATTTCCAAGAGACACTGCTGAAACAAGATTCTACAAAGCGTTTATAAAAGTTATCCTAGTTTCATAAGAAAAATGCATCTTAATACATTATGTAAACGCATAGAAAAATAATATGAATATTGGGAAAGGGAAACCACAAAAAGAAGTAGGAAAGAAAAGTTCAGAGCATAATAAAAAAAAATACCAAAACTTTAATTACACATCTCAGTTCAGGTATAAAACACAGGTAGCAGAAGACAAGCTCATACAATACTTCAGCAAGCCAGTGCAGGGATGCTTGATGCATCGGGCTTCCACAGCTGACTGCAATGTTACTAAGAAGTCATGCACATAAGTGGTTCTCAAGTGTGCTCTTGCCTGTAATCTGTTAGGTCTGTAAATTTGTAGACTACACTGCACACCCGAGTCAGTAACCAGGGACCAGACTTGGCAACTTATTTTTTTGTTTTGCATTGAGACAAAGTCAAGTTTATTTGATAGGAAAGTCTTATTTCAGGGGTTAAAATAAGAAAGTCCTTAGAAATGAGGTCCTTTATTAGACTGCCATTTAACACTTTTCTTCTAATATGCAAATTATTCTCTACTTTCCCTAAATTCCCAATACCTAGGTCCACTCCACTAATTCCGTTTTGTTCCCTGTGCCTCTTCTTTCCTTGGGTCCAATCAGCTGACATGAGGAGACAGGGAGTGGCAAGTCAGTGTAGAACTGGAGTAACTTAGTTTGGACATCAAGAATGAGTTGCTCTTAATTTAGACCCATCTAGTCTTTTTCTGTGATGGAACGTTGGTATTTAATTCTAATTTACATCTCCCTTTCATGAGGCTTGTATTTAAAAATAGAAAGCTTTGTGTAAAAAAAAAAAAATTAATGCTCTTTATCTCTTTGGTAATGTCACGAGTTTTAGAAATGATTTGGCTTTTACACTTATGTTAGTAACATCTAACATTAATCTCGTTTTTAAGTGCTTGCATTAGCTTTGAATTGTTTAAGAAACAAGCAATGAAAGTTCTGATTGGGATAAAAAGCAGTCTCATGTTCTTGCTGCATGTTTCTAAGAGGAACATTTCACATGGGACCACTCTGTCTTCCCAGTATTCCTACCGCACAGGTGTATTATTCCAGGCCACACCTTGGGAGCTCAGTTTCATTACTGCTTTCATTTCGGTCCCATTTTCATCAATAAACGAGCTTTTCTGCATGCACATTTGACTGTGTTATTCCTGTCTAAAATGCTTCTGTAACTTTTCACAGTAATGATCAAGATTTTGACGTGGCTACAAGGCCCTGCATGATTAACTTCCAGCCCCCATCTCTACTTCCCACGAGGCATTCTAGTAAACTATGAAAATATCTAGACAACACTTTAAAAATAGCATAATTCAGAGCAACCGCTTACACCCCACTGCAGAGATGAAGACTCTACCACAGTGCACCTCTAGAAAAATCACCAATATCTTACTGGTACCTAATTTATCAAGTGAAGGTTAACTTAGCAACTTTAACGCTATGAATTAAACAAACTTTCTTGGGGACCTATTTGTTTCACAAAATGGAAGTACTATCAGTAAACGAATCTCCTAAGATTAAGGAAGTGAATTCATTCACCTAAAATGCTCTACACAACGCCTATCATTCATTCAGTAATGCTTTATTAATGAAGTAATTATCATTTTAAGCCAAAGCACTTTTTTTGTACTTCAGACTTTACTCTTCCTCTCCTAGACTACCATCAGTGGCCTAAATGTCACCCCTTCAGGAAGTCTCTAACCTTCTGAGATGGGGAGATTCCTGTCTTTATACACACTGCTTTTTATGGCTGGCACTCATTTGCGAAGGCAATTAATGCTGTTTCCCACCACACTGGGAAAGCAGGAAGATGGTGTCTATTTGGTCCTCTACTTAATACTAGGTGCTCAAAACACTGAAACTTTAAAGTCTTTTAAAATCTAATTAAAGTCTAATTAAATTCTTCTGTTACCTGTATAAAAAGCTAATTATGATAACATCTTTTATTATAAATTTAAACAACTTTCAGTAAGACAAGTTTAGAATATTCAAAATATATTAATAAAGCTATTTCAGTTTACAAAAGAATGCTTTTTTGCACAAATTTTGATGGACGAAAGACAAGTCTTTAGGTATGAAGTTCACCAATAACAATTTAGTTCTAATGTAAAGGATGGAATGGAAGTCAGAGGGAGTCCAATCTCGTAGGAAAAGGTTCATGGAAAGAGGAGAGGCCTCCAAACAGCCTTCCAATTCACTTCTGTATTTTTACAGATTTTCTATGTCCACATTTGTTGGGATTTGATGTCTTTACAAAAGATTACTTATCATCAATTCTTTCTTCCCTAAATGAATGCACTAATGTGAAAAAATTAATTTGTAACTTTTTCCTTACAAAGGTTATTTTCATGATTTAAAAAAAAGCTTCACGTAAAACTATTTCACCAGTGCCCAGTTACTTCCAAAATTCTAAATAATAAATTCAACTATTGAAAAATGTTTTTTAAACCTTCAGATCAGTTTCAAAACCATCTTCTTTTGAAGTTAAGTTCACAAGACATCTTAAGTTGTTCACTCTAGGAGTTCTGGGAATGAAAGATATGGCCAAACTATATATATATATACAGTGGTTTGTAATTTCACTTAATAATCCTCACACTAATTACCACACTAAAGACTTTGAGAGCCTGTGGAGAAATTGTTTAACTTGCTTAAAGCTGTTCTCCACAGCTGATCCTGGACATGGAATTGGTAGTCTAGAGTGTGCCCTCACGCCATATAGCAGCTTTGATGACAACTTGCTCTACACAAATGCCACCTGCCTCATCAATTACAGGGTCATTTCTCTCCTACAGGTACATCATTTCACAAACTCTTGATTAAAACAAACTCAATGAACTCAATTAATCTTAAGAATAATTTTAAGAGAACTGTTACTCTATTTACTTTCTATCTTGACACAGTTTTCAGAGTCTACAAATAGGCTTTATGGAGGAAAATACTCAATTCCTTTTAGAGACAAAACACAAGGCAAACATTTTATGCTTTCAAGTAAAACCTTCTACATTTAATTGACTCAGTTCAGCACAAGCTGCATGCAAAGAAAAACTAACTGATTCAGGTTCGAGTGGAACTGAAGTTAACTCCATCATGTTCGTGGCTGTCTAAAGAAAGCACGTCAGCGAAGCCAAAGGGACGAGAGTGGTTAAACACCTTTCCTCCTAAACTACCAGCAGCTCAGACACATACAAGTTTTATGGCAAGTAATCTAAAACTCTTCTAAAAATGATTAACTGTTACTCTACCCAACAAGAAACCCAATCCAGCAGCTCTATCTAATTAGTGAAGTCACCAGATAGCTTCATGCAGTTCTGGTGTCAAATAACAAGACTTCCGACTGCAAAGTTCTGTCTCACGGCTTGGACTACTCACACATTTGAAAGGGAGATCTCCACTTTAAACTATTTATACAATCTTTATTTTTTCATGTTGAAATGAAAAATACTGAACAGAAAGAGCCGAGGGACAAGCTGTAATTTTACTTTATCAAGTTATCTAACACTATAAAATATAGCAATTAAGTGTCAGACAAAAACCACAGGCATTTTAGGATAGTTTGTTTAGTTTGAGACAGTGTCTCACCATATTGTGGGTTGATCTTAACCTCCCAGACTCAGGCTCAAGTACTTCAGCCCCTGAGCAGTTGGCCTTAATTGGCATGTGCCAGTGTACCTGGTCCTTGCAGTAACTTTTCCAGTTCCCTCAAACTGAGGCAAAATAGTTTATTTAAAAAACAAAAGTTTGTCAATTTTGTTTATACTTTCTATTAACTTTTTTTAAAAAAAAAATCCTTTGTTGTATTTTTTGGTCTTCACTATAATTTTGTTGTTATATGGGCATTTAAAAATTCACTAACAAAAATGACTTAAAACACATATTTTAAGTCTTACACTAAACTTGAAAGGAATAAATACCATTCATTTGTGAAAATAATAATTTCTACATATACAAGCGAGGACTCTATGAATTACTAATGTGGCATCAAAAGCTTCATATTTGTGTATTATTATTATTATTATTATTTGCTACTGGGGACTGAAACAAGGTCTCCACCTTGTTAAGCATGCACTCTACTGAACTACAGGCCCAAACCCACATTTTCTCAACCTAATGGAAAATTAAAAATAAGAGATTTTGCTGCATTATGCACTTAGAGGATGCTTGCATTTTAAAATAATTTACAGAGGAAAACTCAAGCACAAGGTCTGATACATTATCAAAACAATGTGAACAAAATAATGAAAAAATAGCAGAAGTTACCAAAAATAAATTCCTATTTGAATTCCTGTGTTTACACAGATTAAAAATGTTTAACTAGTTCTATCATACAGGTTGCAGCATACTGTAAGATAAAAACACAAAGGTAATATTGGCTATTTGAGATTCAAGCTGCACTTGCCAGGATAGTTTTCACCTGAGTCACAGAGTGTATGCCAGCGCATTTATGCTTTATGAGCAGAAGTCAAGGCGTACTGTCTTTGATTGCTCTTAATATTGTTTAAGTATCTGTGTAAAAGTATAAATATTCACTACATTTTGGGGGTTCTCTGAACACATGAAAAAGCATGAATTGAAAAGATGTTAATTTTTCTTGCTACGCAAGCATATAAAGATGGATTTTAGTCTAAAATGTTTCTGATGTAATATTTTCACATTTTTGAGTATTTTAGAACAGAAGTTTAAAAAATCATAGACACTTATATATATTCCCATGAAATAAAATCACACTCTGAGGAATTATACAAGTTCACTAAAGAATATCAAATTAATCGTTTCCTCCTATAAATAGTTTATTTGTGTTTAGAAGTTGCAATTTTAGTATTATTAACAGAAAATACATAACAAAGGTTTCCTAAAAGTGAAAAAAATAATTATAAATGTTGGAAAAATTGGCCTCATTAAACATATTTACAGACTTTTACTTAATACATAATCCTTTGGAAATTACTTATGTGACATTTTTACAGCATTAACCCTCCCCAAATCTCTGAGCAGTGAGCACTTTGGCTCTTTACTGTCTATAACCAAAGTTGAATGCCATGTGATTTCTGCAGCTAGAGCCGCAGCTTCCTGGTCACTCTGAGACACTGCTGGCATACTGCTCTGCTCCTTCTCCTATGGACGTTTCTGCTGAAAAAGTGTCCTTCAGCAGCTTCTTCTCTTTACTCTGCTCTTCCTGCAATTTCAGAATTATGTTTCGGATTTCTTCTCTTTTTGTTTTCATTCTGGGGGGAGGAAACCAGTTCACCAAATTCATAGGGAGCTCAAAATTTAGTATTGGATTCTGAAAATAAGAAGATTAAAAGCCTATTAGAAAATTATAATGAGTAACATTTGAATTTTAACTACAGCAACACTTAAAAGTTAAGTATCAGCATGTATCCACTTGTTATGTTTCATAAGTCGGGTACTGAGTTAGGCACTAGAGATAAAAGCACTAATGGATTATGAAGCTTACCATCTAGATTAAAGGCTGGCAGACTACAGTTATTGGGCTGAGTTCTGCCAATACCTTATTTCTGCAATATAGTTCTCTTTTTCAAGCAGAAGCAAACAAATTCACTAATAGTTTGTAGTTGTCTGTACAATATTAGAACTCAAGAGTTGCTAGAGTCTCCACAGCTGCAAAACACAAGTCCTGCCTGAGAAAAGAATGCCAGCATTTGTATCTGTGCTAGATACAAAGATAACCGACCTTGGCAAGCATTAGGACAGGAAAGCATGAAGAGCAGTAGAATAAACACCACCAAACCTGGAGAGCAAGTAAATGGTAGCCAGCAAAGAATGACAGAAGCATCAGGCAAGTGAGCTTTGAGGCCTGGAGACATGGCACAGTAATAAACAGAATGACTTCTAACTGGCTGATACACAGCTATATATAGGACACCAGAAGAGTTTCATTCTTTAGCTCATTAGCACCAGGGAGCCACTAAATATAAACCTGGTGAGAATAACCTGATAAGAGTTTTCGGAATATGGCCATGAAGGGAGAAGACAAGAGAATCTCACTAGCATTCTGGACTTAGAAAGTGGCAGCAGGAACAGTCATGTACACACATGACTTTAAAAGAGAGTCAGTGGTTTGTTCAATGGACAGTGGTTAAGAAGGAGTCAAGGGAACATAGAGTTCTAAGAGAGGCGTGTGGAGAGCCACGCTGCAGGCCAAGAGTGAAAAAGGAATAGTCGAAAGGGTGCTGTAGGTCAGAAGAACTTTTAATAAGGGTATGGAGATATCAGATTTAAAACGCTTGAGAGGCAATAGCATGTGTGTGGAGATGGGAATGGAGAGACAGCATAAATCACAGGTGAGATTTGCTAAGATAGAAAATAAGCTGGTGGAGAGGTTGATCAGAGATGATCAACAGGCCTGAGACTTGAGATCAATTTTCACAGTATTTTTATATCTTAAAAGGCCTCTAACTTGGGAGTTTCTGTTCCTTAGAATCGTTTTTAAGATGAATTAGTTTCTTACTGTGTTCATTACATAAAGGTCAAATATATATTTCACTATTTCACCAGATACAATGACCTGAAACTCACCTCAAAAAAACTCTCTACATACTGCAGAATGTATACGCCACAGTCGCTGAAGTTGTTCTGCTGTGGAACTTTGGGGTTGGAACCTCTCATAACATCTTTGGAAAAACTTCTTTTGCTTCCTTTTTTAACCTCCCATTCCACTTCTAAATACCTACAAGAACACACACACTTGTAAATACTTACTGCACCCACTATAGTATATCAAACAGGTAGGTTATAGTTTTGAACTTACTCTCTTAGAATTTTGACAACATTTGACCGAGAAGGGCCTCTAAGTGAGTCCATAAGGAGGATACAAGGTCTGCAGATATAAATAATAAAAGTTAAGTATAAATTATGATGTACATATGCATGAGAAAAAACAGTGAATTTATGATTAAAAACCTTGAAATATTCTTTTGTCTCAGTAATGAAAACAAACCTTCAGACATAGGAAATTTAGATATCTATGATAATATTAAACATTGTTACAGAATAGTAATGTAACTCCAGCATAATAAAAAAGGAACCATATAAAAGTAAGTATTGTGTGTGAACGTGTATATGCACATGCATATGCCAAGGCAACCTGAAGGGGTCATTAAACTCATATCATCATTCTTGCCAGCAAATGTCCTTACCTGCTGTATGACAAACCAAATAGCTAATCCGAAGAATTTGTTTATGACACAATAGTTTTTTAGGCAAGATTTTATTTTAGAACAGTCTATGCAACTCACATATAATCTTCAGAATTTTAATTCTGTAGAAGTATGCTGTAAACTCAAAATAAATGAGGAAATCTAAAGTGCCAAAATGAGTTTAAAATGTTCATCTTTTCTCTTCTTCATTCTACCTCCCCCATCTTTCTCTCTACACTAAGGTTTAAATGCAGAGCCTTGGATATGCTAAGCACACATCTAACTCTGAACTACATTGATCAGGCCTGATATAGAGTCAGTGGTTTGTTCAATGGACAGTGGTTAAGAAGGAGTCAAGGGAACATAGAGTTCTAAGAGAGGCGTGTGGAGAGCCACACTGCAGGCCAAGAGTGAAAAAGGAATAGTAAATAACTATCAGTTATATTTTCTCTAAATATCTGTATTTTCTTTTACAAATAAATTTTTCAAGGTCCATTATGCAGTTTTTGCTAACATTTTCCACAGCAAAGTAAAAGGAGCAATCTGTATCACTTAATGGTTTGGGAGTCTCTGGGATACTTTCCAGCACACATGTATTTCTGGAGATTGAGAATGACGTGTTCCATCCTCAGGCTTCCGCCTGCACCCTATCCTTCTAGTAATGCACACAGTCTCAGATACACCAAGCCATGAAGCATGACAGGGTGCAAGTCTGAATTTCCTCTCTTAGAATTTTGTCCAATCTGAGTGAGCTCTAAGTAGGAAACATGTCTGCAGGATGGGCTGGCCTTCAGTAACTCTCTGCCCACATAAAGTAGCTATGGAACTAACATTAACTGCCAACTTCATGTTACTGGAGGTTTTTTTTCTCAAAAACATCATATACACAGTTGTAGTGGTTCATCATGAAGATGTGTAAGCATCTGCGGGAGCAGATGCTGAGAAAATTACAAAGAGGAAACCAGAAATAGCATCCCTGTTGGATCTCTGGACAGCACATCAACTTTTCCTCCTTGACCCTGAGAATACCTGTGAATTCTTCTCAAGTAAGAATTGTTCTGTTGTGTTTTATTCTATGAATCAAAAAAAAAAAAAAGTCACACAGATTGCAGGATGTAGTCAATGCTTACTGTTTACAGACAATAGGTTTTAAATGCCACTGTCCTATTTCTGAATTGTAGTTTTCATCAGCAAGGAGTCCATCATCGCTGCTATCATCCTATAAAAGACAGCCTTTGGTTAATAAAAGTCTGCTATCGAAATAACTAATAATCTAAGAAAATAGCATTGCACACAAAACTCTTTCCAAAAAAATGGCAACACTTCTAGTCCCAGGGAGATAACTGACCTAGAAAATCCAGCCTGTTATTCAAATTCATTCAACGCTAAAGCAATAACATTAAAGATCTCTTTATTATTATTATTATTTTTTTTTGGTTTTTCGAGACAGGGTTTCTCTGTGGCTTTGGAACCTGTCCTGGAGCTAGCTCGGTAGACCAGGCTGGTCTCAAACTCACAGAGATCCGCCTGCCTCTGCCTCCCGAGTGCTGGGATTAAAGGCGTGCGCCACCATCGCCCGGCTCTCTTTGTTATTATTATGTGCATGTAAAGTGTATATGCATGTGAACATGCAGGTGGGAGTCAGAGGACAACTCTGTGGCGTCAGTGTTCTCTCTCTTCCAAACTTACTTGAGTTCTGAATATGCCTTAGGTTGTCAGCAGGTGCAACAAGACCTCTGCCCAATAAATAATCTCACCAGGACAAACTTTCGGGTGTTTACATATGGTGAAGATGGATTTATGCTAGTTTTTCCTTTCCACTCAATTTTGTGAAAGAAAAAGGTCATGTCTGAATTATCTATTGGCAAATAATACAGTGCTGGAAAATATAAGTTATATCCTTTCCACTACATGAGCACCCCAGTCTGAAGTGCAAAGTAGTGCTAAGAAATTGGTTCCAAATTTCCAATATTTGTATATGTCTCTCATCATGTAAAGCCTACATAAATTGTTTAAATGTAAAAAACTCAAAAATCTAGGCATAAATTGTTTAAATGTAAAAAAACTCAAAAATCTAGGTGGTGGTAGTGCATGCTTTTAATGCCAGCACTCGGGGGGCAGAGGCAGACAGACCTCTGTGAGTACAAGGCCAGCCTTGTCTACAGAACAAGTTCCAGGACAGGCTCTAAAACTACACAGAGAAACCCTATTTCGAAAAACCAAAACAAACAAATGAAAAACAAGTAACAACAGCAACTTTAAAATCTCAATCATATCTGAGTCCACATTTCTGAATAGGACTACTGAGGTCTGTACCATTTACAGTACTTGGTTTACAGTGGGCACCTAGTCTTCCTTTACATAGAGCAGGTACCTGTTAAGTAAACTAATTAATGAGTACCTTACAGCTATGCATTCTAAACTAGGGATAACACACAGAACACCAACCTCTACCAGACTGAGCAAAAAGGAAAACTGTACAGCATAAAGTATCTTCACACTAGGTCAACAACTGAAGGTCCGTCCTAGCACTGAACCCAGAAACCAAGTCTGATCTCCAGGACCCACACGGAGGAGGAGAGAAACGACTCCTGCAGTTGTACTCTGACTCCCACACGCACACTGTGCTTGCATGTGTGTCCAACACAAAACAAACAAATATAATTTTTAGAAAGGGAGATTTAAGGGCTAGAGAAACAGCTCAGTGGTTAAGTGTTCTTCCAGAGGACCCAGATTCTATTCCCAGAAGCCACAACTGTCTGTGACTCCAGTTCCAGGAAATCTGATACCCTCATGGATATACATAGAGGCAAAAACACCAATGCAAATAAAGTAAATATAAATAAAAAGAAAATTTAAGAAATAGTATGTTACAACTTCTCTTGAATTTTTCTCAGAATTTAAATAAATTATCTCAAAAACTATAATTTATTTTTAAGTCCTTATGATACTTATTAGTGTAAATAAGATCTAGGAAATAGTATAGCTCACCTATGGTGATAATTAAATATTACCTATTCTTTTTTTTTTTTTTAAATATTTATTTATTATGTATACAATATTCTGTCTGTGTGTATGCCTGCAGGCCAGAAGAGGGCACCAGACCTCATTACAGATGGTTGTGAGCCACCATGTGGTTGCTGGGAATTGAACTCAGGACCTTTGGAAGAGCAGGCAATGCTCTTAACCACTGAGCCATCTCGCCAGCCCCCAATATTACCTATTCTTAAAGTACATGCATATTAAATTGGAAAAAAAGAAAATAGTCACTAGATAAGTAACAAAAAAGGTACTGGGAAAGTGGTAAAAAAAATTCTGAGCCGGGGCTGGAGAGATGGCTCAGCGGTTAAGAGCATAGCCTGCTCTTCCAAAGGTCCTGAGTTCAATTCCCAGCAACCACATGGTGGTTCACAACCATCTGTAATGAGGTCTGGTGCCCTCTTCTGGCCTGCAGACATACACACAAACAGAATATTGTATACATAATAAATAAATAAATATTAAAAAAAAAAAATTCTGAGCCGGGCGGTGATGGCGCACGCCTTTAATCCCAGCACTCGGGAGGCAGGGGCAGGCGGATTTCTGGGAGTTCGAGGCCAGCCTGGTCTACAAGAGCTAGTTCCAGGACAGGAACCAAAAACTATGGAGAAACCCTGCCTTGAAAAATCAAAAAAAAAAAAAAAAATTCTGATTCTGCCATTCTTATGCATATTACAATTATGTATACTATCATAACTGAAAATCTTGCCACTTGCCTTTCAGATATAGTTAGATCAAAGGTCAAGAACAGTCCATAAATGTTTTCAAAGAAAATATGATTAACTTTTTATTTTATCCAATACTGGGCACCTAACAAATAACAAATAAGTCCTCTCCCACTGAGCTGTACATGTACAGTCTTTGATCCAAGAGAATTAACTATATTAAAACTTTCTCAGGCAGTATTAGAATTCAACCCCTAGATCATATTTCCAACAACAACACTAATACATGCATCATGAAACCGTTAACTAGAAAACTGGGTTTGTTGTGAAATACAACCCAAATACAGAACCCATGTTGTCTGTTGGTGGCTGAAGGAATAGCTTCTCAGATTTTTTTAACAGAGTCTGACAAAGCATCTGATTTTACCGGCTCATCCTGATCCTCTGAGAAGTCAATGAGTTCATCTTCCAGCATTTTGCCACCTTCAGCTGACTGATCACCGTAGTTTAGTCTGATTTTGCTTAAGGCATCTGTATCAATAGGAAACATTGTATGATAAAAAGCCTATGACCCAGAGGATAGACGACTGAAATGAATGCCAGTAATGACAGCTGAGGGCACAAAAATCTGCTACAGCATGAAGTACAACAAACATAAAGTAGGTTATTTTTAAATAAAAACATGGATTGCTATCAAATTACAAAATGGTTCTATTACTCTATTATTCAAAATTTATGAAAAAAAATAAAAACAAGGTTATATAAATCTGTGTATAAATCTGTCTGTTTGCATGTTTGGGTATGCCCGAAAGTGAAGAGAAAGTTTTAAGAGTCTAAAAAAAAATAATTCCCAAATAAAATTATAAAAGCATAGAATAGAATACAAGATTGAAAACGTACAGTTTTAAGATTAAAATTATAAAACATGAAAAAACAAAGGGTTAAAAACAGTACAAATAAATAGATTTGCATGTGCACAAATCAGAAAAAGAATATGTCAGGTGGTGGTGATGGCACACACTTTTAATCTCAGCACTCAGAGGCAGAGGCAGGCGATTCTCTGTGAGTTCGAGGCCAGCCTGGTCTACAAAGTGAGTTTACTAGTTATATACAAGATACCTTAACTGTTTATATTCTAAGTTTGGTTAAATTACTATTTTTCAGTAAAATAAAATCCCACAAATCAACTGTAGGTGTTGGTACCATAAAAGTAAATGATTTGTAAGGTAAAACTAAACTGATATTCTTAAGTTTATTCTAAGAATCAAAATTGTTAAAAAGCAATTATTTTGGCAAAAGAAGCTTGTCAAATCAATTATTTAACAGAAATTTAAAATTTACCAAAAAACTGAGTTAGAATTTAATACCACATATGTTAATATTGTTTAAAACAGTGTATAACATCTTAAAACTTCCTAAGAATAACTTCTAGGTATTTCAGGTAGAAAAGTTTACTCCAATCTAGGTTACATATATAGTGATATTTTTTTTAACATAAAACAAGGTATCTTGAGGAAGAAGGTAAGTAAAATGTATTACTGAAAAAAGATATATGAATCAAAATGTGGTCATCAGGAACACACTTAAAATAACTAGCCAAGCACAATGGTAAACCTTCTGTTAAACACAATAACCTCTTCAATTTGTCTGTTTCAGAAATTATTTTAAATTTGCTTAAATAAAAATCTGTACAAATCCCCAGGCAAGTAACATTAATACAGATTATTTCTAGAAGCAAATCATTCGTATTTATAAAGTACTGTTACATCAATACTTACTTTGTATTAACTAAATTATTCCAAAAACCATCCCAATAAAGTCTTTATGGCCTCTCCATTCTGCATGTGTCTGATTCTCATAAGAATGTAGAAGTTAAGCAGGGTGAGTTTTGGTTAGTACTTGAATGGGAGAAAGTAATTTAAATAGTTTAGCTTTTAAAAAGTATCTTTCTTTCAGGCTGGGTATAGTGGTGCACACCTTTAATAGCTGCACTCAGGAGGCAGAGGTTAGGGGATCTCTGATTGCTCTGTGCAGTGAGTTCTAAGTTAGTCAGGGCTACAAAGCAAGGCCCTGTCTTAAAAAAAAAAAGTGCACGTGTACTGGGGGCTCGGCAGCGAAGATTAAGAGTTTATTACTGCTCTTCAACAGAATCCAGGTTCAATTCCCAGCACCCACACCAGGAGGCAATTTCAGCTCTAGGAGGATTCCACCTCTACCTCTGAACTCTGGGGGACACCTGCACATACACAACACACATATATGTATTTAAAAATAATTTTAAAACAGATAATATATGTATCCTTAAAAAAAAGCAAACATTTATATATTCTCTCTCTCTCTCTCTCTCTGTGTGTGTGTGTGTGTGTGTGTGTGTGTGTGTGTGTGCGCGCGCGCGCATATACATACTTCTGTGTGTGTGTAGATCAAAGCATAATTTTCAGGAATCAGTTCTTTCCTTCCAACATCTGGGCGACAGGGATTGAATCCAGGTTACGAGCCTTGGTGGCAGACACTTTTACATAGTAGTCAAATCAGCAGCCCAGTAGTTACCTATGTGAATGTGACTGTAAAATTTAAGCCTACATGTTCCTCGTTTCCTTGATCTGGTCAATTATTTTACATGACGTACAGATGAAAAAAAAAATGGCAAGTAGTGGTCTCATACATTAGCTTCCAACAGCTGGCCTTAAAACTGTAGATATAATCCCAATTATTTACTGTGGCATGTTATCTGACACTCTTAGTGAACACTTGTTAACTATATAGATCTAAGACTTAAAATTATATGAACTATTTAAAATACATCTTTTGAACAATATTGCCAGGCCAAATAGAATTTAGCTACTTAGGCAGTAATCAGAGCACAAACTTTTTATAAGCTACTAACTTTTCAAGCACCATCACTGTAAGACCAGTTAACCACATTTAGAGAGCACCCTTACTTGCTGTACTTTTTTTTTAAGAAATTTTTTTAGTATAGTCTATTTATTTATTTAGTTAGTTAGTTATTTATTATGCATACAATATTCTGTCTGTGTGTATGCCTGCAGGCCAGAAGAGGACACCAGGCTCCATTACAGATGGTTGTGAGCCACCATATGGTTGCTGGGAATTGAACTCAGGATCTTTGGAAGAGCAGGCAATGCTCTTAAGCACTGAGCCATCTCTCCAGCCCCTACTTGCTGTATTTTTGAGCCAATGAGCTCTTCAAGCATATGATAAAAGCTAAGGCACCTCACTGTGTGTGTTTGGGTGGTGGGAATCAACCATCTCACTCTAGAGCACCACTTTTCAAACTTTAAGATGCTGCCAGCATTGAATTAAAGATTTAAAAAAACAGTGTTAGTTAGTATTAGCACTCACACAAACAACAAGCTGTTTTGTGAAACACTAGTTTTAACAGATCTTCCCTTTAATTACAGAGATGTAATTGACATAGGTACATCCATATGAAAGGAACTGACATTACAAGCTACAAGAAAAAGACAAACATGTTAATTATGAAACCTACATAAAACATTATTTTGTACTTTAGTCTCCACTAGGGTTTTGAGACTATCTTCAAACATAACTGTCTACTCAACCAAACAACAACTTCCAGGGGGCACTTTTGGAAATCCTGCAGTCAGTGTACAAAAAGCTCCAAACTGTGCTCCAATGCATAAAGTCACTCACATCATTTATCTGATCTCATATTAAAGTGGACGATCAGTGTTTTTATTAGTATAGTCAGCCCTCTCTAGATAGAGAGCTATCTGTGAATTCGACCAAGTATGGATAAAGAATATTGGAGGGTAGAGGTTACAGTATGGTGGTGTACTATGGTGGTGTCATCTGAGAGGGACCTTGGAATGAAAAATGCCTCCCTGAGACTGGGCTGTAGGTAAGCGTGTAGAGCATTTTCTTAATTTAATAACTGATGGGGGAGGGCCCAGCATATCGTGGCTCCTTGTCCTGAGTTCTACAAGAAAACAAGCTGAGCAAGCCAGAAAGCAGCACCTCTCCAAGGCTTCTGCATCAGCTCCTGCCTGTAAGAGGTTTTCAATCTAGACATACAAACTTCACATTTTCCTCCAAGCCCCTTCCTGCTTGAGTTCTTGTCCTAACTTCCTCAAATGATGAACAGTGATCTGGATGCGGAAGCCAAATAAGCCCTTTCCTCTCAAGTTCCTTTCGTCATGGTGTTTTGTCACAGCATTAGTGAGCCGAACTAGGATGAGGCTGAAGTCAACACATGAAGTATTTGTGGGTGGGAGAGGAAAACAATTTGATATCAAAGAATTTTGATCACAACTTTTAGATTTCTGTTAAAAAGGTTAGAAATAATAGTTTAATGGAAGAAAGTGAGAACAAATTCAAGAGAGCTGAACCAAGTGAAAGGAGAGCGAGGGACAGGGATCCCCACTCTGTCTGAAGGAGGAAGCTTTACTTTCTGCCTTTGGCCATTTGAACTCAATTCACCAATCTAAAAATGGAGAAGACTGAACAGATTTGTCTTATAAGTTAAGCCTGTACAACTACTGTGTATTTTGAATATAAGGAATTTTTAATTAAACAAAAATGATTCCAAGCTCTTGTAAGTGGAAAATGTGAAGTTTGTATGTCTAGATTGAAAACCTCTTACAGGAATATGTGGAACAGAATTATAAATTTCAAGGTTTATTATTTCTTTGGATTTTGAGTTATTTGTAATATATATATATATATATATATATATATATATATATATATATAATATCAAGCAGATGGAACTCAAGCCTAAGCATGAAATTACTTTTCATTTCTATGTACCACAGGCAGGCAGTATTATATAATAATTTTAGTGTATCTACAACCAGCTACACAAGAATTTTTCAGTGGTGACATAAATTTCAGACTGGGGGGTGAAGAGATAAGACTGACCGCACAAGAGACACCAGGAGACTTCTGAGTAGTAAAAGATTCTAAATGTTGGTTGTCGTAGTGATTACATGACTGAGTATATCAATAAAACTTAAGCAACATAAAATGAGTTAATGTTATCCTAAGTAAATTCTACCTCAGCAAGCCTGACGAAAGAAAAGATGTAACTTTAACAATTCTACTTTGAACTCTGTTATTATAATACATCAGTACATACCTGGATGATGTATAGAATTTAAACATTCATCCTGTAGGCCATTCTCACTTTTAGCTCTATCAATAACTTCCTGGCATGAAGATTTTCCATTACTTGATTCTTCGTTTTCACTTATAGCATGGTTTTTTTTTTTCACACTACATTTCACACTGTATGTGTTTCTCCGATAACAAGGCTCACTTTCTTCCTGTCCAGCACTGGACTCAGTTACAGTTAAGCAATGCTTTCTGTTTAGCATCTTCTTAATCACAGGCTTGGCAGAAGAGTTCTGTGAACAACTGTCCATTTCACTGGCAGAAGAAACACAACTGTCCTCTGCAGCTGAACTTTTTTGCACGACTGCATTTTCATGGTAATGGGGGTTAGGTTCATATTTTGGTTTTTCCAAACCAGGGAAACAAACAACAGCCAAAAACCAGTGTGCACTGTAAAAACAAACAACACTACTAAACATATCATTGGAAAAGCTCATCACAGTTGTCCATAACTATCAATTGAAAATGCTGATTTCACAAATTTGTGAACAGGCACTGATCTTTTTAAAATTCCTATAATGTTTATAACCGTTCTCACTTATTTATTTTATTAGTGGTTAAAATACCATAATGACCACTAATTTTTTTGCTGCTGATTTTAGGACTATGAACCCTACATTCATTCTTGCAAACAATCTACTGAATCTTTGTGGAAAGAAAGATCCATTCAGATTTTTTTAAAATCATGTCTCTTTCTATTGTTTGGAAAGGCTTATTATAAAAAGTATATATCTAAATAATCCTTAGGCTTGTGCTATGTTGAAATGTAAATACATTAAAAATTTAAAAGGAAATGGCATTATGTAATCTAGGCATTGTTATAAAAGCTCAATTTAGCAAGGAGTTTTAGCTATCAAGCACAAATTCATGATATCACTGTATTCAGTTATCACAGCTATCAACTGTATAGTCCACCAGAAAAAAAGACATATAGTATAGCCTAAAAGTCATTAACAACTTTTATTTGCTAGCCAATGGACAAGCTGTAGATGAAAGAGTACTTATTAGCTGAGTACAATACCTGTCATGTAGTAGGATGTCCAATAAATACCTTCTCAGAAGAAAACACTTTTACATCCACGGCTAGGGATCAAACCCAGGGCAAGTTAGGCAAGTACCCTACTACTGAGCTACATCTCTAACCTGAATACCTTAGCGTCATTGGGCATCTCTTTCTTTTTCCATATGACTCCAAGGCAGTATTAGGAACAGCGCTATCTCTTCACCTGACAACATTCAGTACAAAGGTAAAGACTGGTTTTGGTGTTAGTGCTAAAAGGGAAAATTGAGTCTGGTGTGGTTGTGCATGCCTGTAATCCCAGCACGAAGGAGGCAGAGTGTCTCTTATGAGTTTGAGGCCAGTCAGGTCTAAGAAGCAAGTTCTAGGCAAGCTACATAGTGAGACCTTATAGACAGACAGATAGACACACACAACCACACAAATACAACCCCTCTCTCCCCACCAAAAGACAAGATTGACAAATAATTCCTTTTTTTTTTTATTTTAATTTGTCGAGACAGGGTTTCTCTGTAGCTTTGGAGCCTATCCGGGAACTAGCTCTTGTAGACCAGGCTGGCCTCAAACTCAGAAAACCACCTGCCGCTCCCTCCCGAGTGCTGGAATTAAAGGCATGTGCCACCACTGCCTGATTTTTCTTTCGTATTCTTAAAAATTAATTCTGTGTATACGATGAATTTAGGTCAGGTTAATGCAGCAGAAATAGTATTTCATCTTCCTCATTTCAACAATTAAAACATCCTAAGTTCCACCTCAGTTTTGGAAATGTTAAAATGTAGAAAAGTGTGTTTCAAAAGCCAGTGCAACGCATGGTGGCAAAAGACTGCACTCTCCCACTTGAGGAAGAAGAACCAAAGGTTCAAGGCCATCTCTGGCTACTCATCAAGTCTGAGGACAGCACTAGACTACAGGAGATCTTGAAAACCAGTATTTAGGGTGTAATGTGTTAATTTCCAACCTACATTGTTGTGACTAGCTTTACCTAAATCTGAAATCATAATAATATATGACGCCATACATTTTTTGCTACATCACTAAAAACTAGGCAAAATGCTTCTCCTGACTTAAAGGGTTTTAAGTTTGTAGCTTTAAAAAAATAAAACAATAGCAACAACAACAAAAACAAAACAAAACAAAAAAAAAACAGGCTCTATCTATGTAGACCGGTTCTGGCCTACAACTCAGACACTCGCCTCTAGCCAAGTAACTATATAAATCATTGGTATGAGAAGAGGTTAAAATATAAAATAGGTAATTTTACTATGGCTGAATTAAATCTAAATTCTAGGTTTGTATTCTTTACCAAATACTGTAACAGTTTCTAACAAACAACCTAAAATAAAATAAGAAAAGAAAAAGAAAAAACAAAAACAAAAAAACCCCAGCATCATGAAGTTACAGAAATGGCTCATTGACTAGAGCACTTACTATTCTGACAAAGACCCCAGAATTTAGTTCCCAGCACCCACATGGCTGGCACCTTCCAAACATTTTTAACTCCAGTTAGGTGAACACACATGCAGGCAAGCACTTATACATGTTAAATAAAAAAAAATCTTTAAAAACTAAACATCAGGCTGGGCATGGTGATGCATGTTTTTAATCCCAGCACTTAGGAGGTGGAGGTAAGTAAATCTTTTTCAGTCCAAGAAGCCTGGCCTAAAGAACTAAGCGAGCCAGGGCTATATATTTAGTGAGACCCTATCTCAAAAAACAAAAAATTAACAACACTACGAAAATGAAGAAGATGACAAACCAATGGTGGCCTATCTAGTAACTGGCACACATAAAATATCTGTGGCTTTCATCTCTTAAAGAAATGAAAGTAAGATCTAGACATCTGCAGACTGTTCCCGTGGGTGTAGCCCTCTTGCAGAATCCTGTACTGGCCTGCGCCTCTGCTGGTTCTCCGCCACATATAAGATGACTGGAAGATCAACAGAAACTTCTATTGACAGCTACAGTGATTATAGTGGCTCTAAGCTAAATATGACTCTAATAGCACTTCAGTTGAACACTTTTGGTATTTCTTTCCTTCCTTATTTTTTTCTTTTCTTTTTTCTTTTTTTGGGGGGGGGGTGGTTTCGAGACAAGGTGCTCTGTAGCTTTGGATCCTGCCCTGGAACTAGCTCTTGTAGACCAGGCTGGCCTTGAACTCACAGCCGCCTGCCTCCGTCTCCCTTTATTTTGCTGGAATTAAAGGCACGTGTCACCACTGCACAGCTCACTTTTGTTATTTCTTACGAACAACTTTCTTCTTTTCTAAGAAGCTTGTGCTACTTTTTAAGGTTAAGAAACCTTTATTTCATGCAGAATAAATTTAAATTTGATTTTGAATTTTATTATGCTATGCATAATCATGCAGTCTTATATAAATTGTGCTTTACAGCTATAACTGATGCTTTAACTTAAAAAGGGCTGAGGTCTTTTAATAAAAACATTACACATGTGGGCATGCACAGTAGTGCTTGGAATAGAACTGCGGATCTTCCACAAACTAGCCAAGGAGCTTGCTACTAAGCTATACTTCTAGGCCTCAAAACATAGTACTTATCATCTGTTTTAAGAGGGAAGGATCTTAATATGTTATCTAAATTAACTTCAAATTCTTGTGTTGATGTGATCTTCGTGCCTAACCCTCCCAAGACGCCGTAACCACAGTCACACATGTCAACAACATTTTAAAGAAAGGGTTTGCTTATTACAAAGTGAATTAATACACATTTGAAATTTACAATCTAATGTAACACAGCAAGGCTTATTACATATAAACAATCCTACACAATACTAATTTCAGTCACCATTTCTCCAATTATAAAGAGATAAAAGGGGCAAGCAAAGGCATTTCTTGATTTGACTAAGCAGAGTACAAGAGTAAGTCATAGTCCATGCCATAAAACAAACACCTCTTTTGCCGAATAAGAATGGTACTTCTTGGTTCACACACACCACTTCTACCTCACTCTCCCCAGATCACATGGCCAAATACTTTCAAATGGGTTCTTGAAAGTAAAAGCAAACAAAGAAAGAAACACAAACTCTCAAATCTTAATCACATGAGAAAGCTGTACGATAGATATATCAATACTGCCATAGCCACAGGAGAACAGTAATGACATATCTGAGCGTCTTTACCAAAGTACTTCCAAGACTGCTTATAATAGAATGGCTTTAGTTTGAGGAAATGGCATAAATTCATCCACTTTTACTTTACTGTTAAATACAAGTGAATCTCAAATGAAAGATTCAGATTTTTCTATGTAACCCAATCACTTCTTCAAACAACGCAATCTCCACACAAGCATCATTTTTAAAAATGACGTTCTTATACTTTATCCAATAAAATAAAATTAGAAGATGTCCAATATATTCTACAAAATTCTGTTGGGTATTTTTCCTCCAAGACAGGGTTTCACTCTGTAGCCCTGGCTGCCCAAGAACTTGCTCTGTAGAACAGACTGGCCTCAAACTCAGAGACCCACCTGCCTCTGCCTCCCAAGTGCTGGAATTAAAGGCGGACAGCTAAAACAAAAAAATTCTGTATCTTATGAGCCAACTGAGAACTGTGCTTACTTTCATAAAATAAGTATTTTAAATACATATAGAATTTTACTTACGCTTCATTAAGGGGTACAAAAATAAAATCCTTCTCAAAAATATCTACATGCCGGGTCCATGTTTTTACTCTCCCATGACGTTTTTGTTGTATTCTGTAAGAAAGAGACAATCACCTTCTAAAGTGTCATTGCAGCTACAGCTTCTGTGCAGTGACCTATAAACTACGACACTCAGCTGGAACACCTCAGTTTCACTTGATGTTTTAACAAGTTGAGGAAAAAAAACACAGTACCTTTTTTTAAATTTATTTATCTATTTATTTATTTATTTATTTATTATGTATACAATATTCTGTCTGTGTGCATGTCTGCAGGCCAGAAGAGGGCACCAGACCTTATTCCAGATGGTTGTGAGCCACCATGTGGTTGCCAGGAATTGAACTCAGGACCTTTGGAAGAGCAGGCAATGCTCTTAATCACTGAGCCATCTCTCCAGCCCTCAAAACACAGTATCTTAAAATTGAAAAGATACAGTTATTTTTCTTTTATGTGTATGAATGTTTTTGCCCATATGCAGAGGTATCACATGAGTGCCTGATGAACTCAAGTCAGTGGCAGGCATTGGAATCCCCAGAACTGGAGTAAGAAATGGCCATTAGGGGCAACTTGGTGCTAGGAACCAAATCCTAGTCCTCTGCAAGGGCAGTAAGTGCCCTTAATTACTGAGCCATCATCCAGTCCCATGAACAGACTATCTTAGATGAAACCAGAAAGGGAAGACATGAAACCTCCTGACTGAATCTGCACGGAAGGGTATTGAGTTCATTTTACAATATTCTGGGGAATTTCAGTGCTTCTCCTGGATGAATTTCTTTTGTCTCTACTATTTTACTGGTGCAGTATTGCTATTAGAAACTATACTGAGAAACTGAAAAGAGCATAACTTAATGGTAAATGAAAGGGAGCATGTAAAACACGCACCGTTTATCAACAAACAAAGCAGCACCATAAGCTATGAACAATGTCAAAATCCATCTCAAGTCTATGATATAAAATTAGGAACTTTGTAAACAGTAGAAAATAGAATTTATATCTGGCATAGCAGCCCCAAATGAAGACACTTCAGTGTAGTTACAAGAAGATGTGCCAACTCTTGAATCTTTTGACCAATTAAAGCTAAGCATAAGACCTGAATACCATAACAATATAGAAAAGAAATGTAAAGAACTTAGTAGTCATAGCAGAACAGAATCTCTGTAACTATTTTGAGAAAAATCATTTTAAGAGCTTATTAAAAGTCAGATTAAGGGGTGAGGATGCATCCCAGTGGTAAAGAACATCTATTTGCCTAGCACAAGCAAGGCTCTGGCTCAGTGACTAGCCCACAAGAAGAACAAGAGAAAACAAAACAGTTTCCACTCAGCATCACCGAGGGAACTCTTAGATAACCATCTAAGAAACACAAATAAGTACTATTTGGGATCAACCATTCTAGACACTAGACCCACAACCTCTGAACTCTAGGTATTCTGTAACCATCAGAAAATAATCGAGGTTAATGTTTTAAGAGAATGAAACAGAAATGAATGGTATTGCTCAACAGAAGTAAAAGTATTTTTAAAAGTTATCCTTTAGAACTAGTGCAGTATTACTAAGGCAGCTGAGCATAAATTCATGAGAAAAACGACATAACTGAGCTGGCATGATTTTCCTAGTGGCATCCTCTAGAAACAAGCACGTGACTACAGAGATCTGTGGGGCTTTTGCTGGGCTAATTTTTCAAATATCATGGGCCCTTCATTTTGTATCCATGAATTCAACAAATTGACGGTAGAAAATATGTTTGAGGGAAAGTATACCCATAAGACACATACAGACCCCTTTCCTTGTCATTACACACTAAAGAACACAGCCTAATATTTAATGTGCTACACTACAGTATGAATACGCTAGAAAGTATCTGAAACAATATATTTACGTCAAATGTAAATAATGCAGCATTTCATCTACAGGACACAAATGCCTGTAAATTTGAGATCGCATGTGAGATATGGGGCACTAATAACTGTGATACTATGGAATAATTACTGAATGAATTGTTAAGATTTGACTTACGATAGGTTAGTTGTCTCAGCATTTCTTCTCTCTCTCTGATTAAGGCGTTTATAGAAAAAAGAACTGAATATATGAATTCGGTCAGCATCTTCTTTCTTCAGTTTTTCAAGCACCAAGTATCTATTTTAAGCAAAAACAGTTATCATATATAATGGATCACAGGCTCACTCAACAGACAACAGTCAAGCATTTATTTGGCCACCATAATCACTATTTCTAAGAAATGAAGTTTACTTCACAAACCAGATGCAATAGTCACCAAAACACCTTTAGATAATGGAAAGCATTTCATATGTTTTCGTGTTTTTGTGTGCGCTTGGGGCCCAGGAAGGTCAGAAGAGGCTACTGGATTCCCTGGAAATGGAGTCAAAGATAGCTGTAAGCTGCCACATGGGTGCTAGAGACTGAACCTGGGTCATCTGCAAAAACAGCCCAGTGCTCTGAACTGCTAGGGCATCTTTTCAGCCTCTAAATCCATGCCTTTAAAATACATTAATTATTCTGTATCACTCTATTATAGCTTTGACTAGCTAGCCAGCAAGTTCTGTGGATCTGCTTGTCTCTGCTCTCCCTCCCCTGGTGCTGAGATCACAGGCAAGTGCAGGCAGCTGGACTATGTGCACAAGAGCTGAGGATTCAAGCTGAGGGCTCCCTCTTACAGAGCACTCTTACCCACTGAACCAGAGCCCCAGTCGCAAGACCCTTTCTCAAATAATTAAAATAAGAAGTTGGAGAAACACCAGCAGTTAAAGGTGTTTCCTGCTCTTCCTGAGGACGCCAGTTAAGTTCCTGGCATCTACTTGGGCAGCTTACAACTCTCCATAACTCCAGGTCCTGAAGATCTGACACTCTTCAGGCTTTGGTGGGTGCCTGTGCACACACCTACACACACAAACACACACAGGTCCACACACACACCTTTAAAAAAAAAAACTGTAACAAGACCCCATAGAAGGAGAAAAACTGTCCTTTTATTTCGCTTCTAAAAACTAATGATGTTTAAAGTATGTATGTATTTTCCTAGATTTCCAGTATTAACTGCATAAGTTTTACATCAGATTTAATTGCAGTGGGATAATCTTTTTTTTTAAAGGGATCATCTATATTTTTTTTTAAATATTTTTATTTATTTATTATGTATACAATATTCTGTCCGTGTGTATGCCTGCAGGCCAGAAGAGGGCACCAGACCTCATTACAGATGGTTGTGAGCCACCATGTGGTTGCTGGGAATTGAACTCAGGACCTTTGGAAGAGCAGGCAATGCTCTTAACCGCTGAGCCATCTCTCCAGCCCCAGTGGGATAATCTTAATTACTCTATAAAATTTAATTGGAAACTTAACTATAAACATGAGTCCTGAATAAAGTCAGGATTACAAACTAAAATTTTAGTATAATATAAAAACAAGATTATCCTATTTCAGCATGAATCACAAACAATAACGAAGATTATCAGGAGTCAGTTGGCAGAGTGCTTGCTTAGCATGTATGAAGCCCTAAATTTATTCTCCAAACAGCACACAAGCAAGGTTTTAGCTCCTTGCTGGGTCATGGCGGTAGTCCTGTAATCCCAGCAAGATCAGAAGCACAAGGTCATCCTTGGCTACACAGTGAGTTTGAGGTCAGCCTGGGATACATAGGACTCTGTTGCAAAGTAATAATATTATTAATACTAAAAAACCCACAATATTAAATACAGACTTAAAGGATTAAAAGTAAAAGGATGAAATGCTTGCCAAGAAAATTGAAAGAAATATCTCTGTCAACAAAGCAGACTCAAGAACAGGAGATCATGAATAAGAAAGAGTATCACGCCGGGCGATGGTGGCGCATGCCTTTAATCCCAGCACTCAGGAGGCAGAGGCAGGCGGATCTCTGTGAGTTCAAGACCAGCCTGGTCTACAGAGCTAGTTCCAGGACAGGCTCCAAAGCCACAGAGAAACCCTGTCTCGAAAACCAAAAAAAAAAAAAAAAAGAAAGAAAGAAAGAAAGAAAGAGTATCACATCATGATAAAGGTTAATTCTACAAGATATAAAAGCACATTTTCCTACCAATAGAGCTTCAAACTACAGATGGCTTTAAAGACAAGACAGCTGGAAATTTCAACAATCCTTTATAATAATTTTATAGAACAATTAGACATAAAACCTGTAAGGATTTCTCATGCTAGCCAAGCAGTTTTATCCAAGCCAAGTTGAGCTATAACCCCATCCAAAACATTAAAAATATGTTATTCATGCTTTATGTTTTGTGTGCACATGAGTGCTGGAGGCCAGAAGACAGATCTCTTGGAGCTGGAGTTACCTGTCTTTTCTCTCCCGAAGTATTAGGTGAATTCTACTACTAGGTTATTAAATCAATTTTGCAGGTTTCAAAACACATTTTGAGTTAAGAGATATACTGAAAATAAACTAGAAAACAATAGCCCAGACATAATAAGGATAAGTATTGCTTTGTTTCATGTATGTGGGCCTTTTCATTACACATACCAGAAAATACACACGATAAGTTAGTATTTATGAAAACTGTGCTGAACACCATCTTTACTGTTTCACATACACTGCTACTTCATTCAAGTCTTACAACCCTTTATTCTCATTTTTAGAATGTGGAAACAAAGGTACAATAAAGTACTTGAGTAGAAGATTATATTATATTGAGTAGAGGATATATAATATATAATATAAATTATATTATATTATGTTGAGTAGAGGATATACTCAAGTATCAAAGCATATTACAGTAATAAAAATTCCAATCAAAATAGTATGACTTTCAAAAAGAAAGATTTAAAACACACGCAATGGCAGAATATGTTTAAAGGTTCTATTAAGTTAGCTAACTTACTTCAAATAAAAGTCGATAATAACATCATTTAAAAACTCTCCTTCACTTAGACAGTGCAGGTCCTCATTAGTAACAGAGATGCCTCCCTTAGCCGGAGGTGGTGGATACACTATCAATCTATAATAAAGGAAGAAGAAGGCATTACTAAACACAGAAACAGATATTTTTAAGTACTGCAAACATAAAAGAATTCTCTCACTTTTCTACAGGGCCAATGAAGATAGTGTGGCTCTCTCCGGTTTCTTCCTCATCATCAAAAAACTGCAATTCTTGTTTGCTTCTGAGCTGTATTTTAGATTCAAAGGACACCTGGCAGAGAAAAATACCAATTTATGAAGTTAATTGGGATTTTTTTTTTAAATAAAAAGAGCAAGGCAGAAAAGATGCTTCAATGGAAAATAAACAGTACTCAGGAGATGTGGGTAGGCTCACTTGCAGGCTTTAAACAGCCTGGTCTTGAGAGCAGGCAGAACTATACAGCAAGATCTTGCCCCAAAATATTTTATATATTATATAATATATATAAATATTTTATATATTATATATATACACACACACACACACACACACACGTGTGTGTGTGTGTGTGTGTGTGTGTGTGTGTGTGTATGATGGCTCAGGACTGAGAAACGATAAAAAGTCAGTAATAGGACTACTTTCACTTTCAGCTTCCAGACAATATATAATAATAGCTTTCCAATTTCATATTTCTATTTATATCCAATCAGTCTGGTAAGATTTGAAGAACCTCTGAAGTAAAACAAATCCCAAAGTTGTTTTTTCCTGATAGCAGTGGAAACCTACCTTAGTTCAAAGGCTAGACAGTCTGCAGGAAGTGGGGGCACAGGCACTGAGAACATACAGTTTAGTGAGCTTAAGAGTTACTCAAGGAAACCCTGAGTCCACGTCACCTGCTTAGTGGTTTTATCAACTGCAAATGATTTGCCCTTCTCCCCTTCCCTGCCTCCCACTCCATGTATGAGGTCTAATTCAAGACTGTGTCTTAGGGATGGATATACAGTTCATTGGAGATAAGGAATTCCCAAGATAGCAATAAAAAGAAAAGTTTGTCAGGCGTGGTGGTAGCCAGGTTGAGAGATTTATTCCCAATAAACTAAGCAAACTTCACAACTCAAAACTAGCAAAATCCAACAGCTATAGAAATGATACAGTTCTACCATGGCCTATGGTTCATGAAGCTTGAGAGTTTAACACTGAGGCATCTCTAGATGAGTGCATGCACTGTCTGACAAAGTCAGACTATATCCTTTACTTCATTCTGTTAAAACAATGTGACTACGCACAGGGAACTAAACCTCAGCTCCAGACACAGGGTTAACACTCTTTTTTGGATGAGCAGTATCTGTATACATATGCTCAGAGTGCAGTACAGAGGAAAAAATGGGAGAAAAGGAAAAGAGTGTGGAAAGGAACTAAAAGATTCCAAAACTTGTACCTGGAACTTTTAAAGTTTAACATTAAAATGAGCAATATTAAAACATTTCATTTTAAAATTACTCATTATTATTGAGGGTGTGGCTCAATGGCAAGGTATCTGCGTAGCATATAGAAGCCCTGGGTTTGATCCCCAGCATCACAAAAAACAAACAGAATTACCCATCATTTAAATTACTGTAAAATTTTTAAATATAATTACAGTTTTCACTTTGTTCTCTTTTTGCACACAATTTCCTTTGATGCTTTCTTCATAGCTTCTTGTACAGGCAACAAGTCTGCTATTGGCTTCTTCAAAAGGAATTTTCGCAAAAAAGTTGCAAACATTATTCTTTATACCAATGTCAGTAATGATACTTTCAAAGACCACATTTGCCTGAGGATCAAGGCCAGTTTGAAAAATTAAAATAATGTACTGTTCTTCTAAACCTGTAAAGAAATAAATATAACTATAAGGCTGAAAGAAAAAATAAGTAATAAACAATTTTAGAGCATATCAACAAGTGATGGATATGGTGACTTGTGCCTTTAATTCCAGCACTTGTAAAGTGAAGGCAGGAGGACTGCCAAGAGTTTGTGGAAAGCCTGGGCTACACAGTGAATAGTGAATCAATTCTCTCTCTCTCTCTCTCTCTCTCTCTCTCTCTCTCTCTGTCTCTCTCTCTCTCAGACAAAAGAAAAAAAAAGTCAACGAGAGTAGGGGGTTAATTCAGTCTTTAAAGTGCTTGTCACCCAAGCATGAGAAAGAACCTTGGTTGATTTCCAGACCCACAGAAAAAGTTGGGTGTGGTGAGAAAGGCTTGTGATCCCAGTGTGGGGAGATTGAAGCAGGCAGATCTGTGGTTTGCACACCCACGTGTCTAGCCTACATGGTAAGTCTCAGAGCAGTGAAAGACACTGTTTCAAAAGTTTCACAATACCTGAGGTTGACCTCAGACTTTTACATCTGTGCATGCACACACATGTGCATTTGCACACACAAATAAGATAAATACCAACTAATTATTTCCTAGGTGATTACAAGTTCAGGAATATAATTCAAAACAAGTGTTTAACACACAGGGGACACACAATAAATACTAGAAAAATGAGCAGTGTTATTTAGAAATGTTAACCAAGTTATCAAAACAAAAAAGCCAGATCTAGCACTAGCACATGAACAAGGCTATTAATAAATATAAGCAATCTGCTTCCTCTAAAACAGCAGTTCTCAACCAGGAGGTTATGGTCCACACAGGGTCACATATCAGATATTTACACTATAATTCATAACTAGCAAAATTAGTCATGAAGTAGTAATGAAATAATTTTTTGTTTGCGGGTCACAACACGAAGAACTATATTAAAGGGTGGCAGCATTAGGAAGGTTGAGAACACACAGTTCTAAAAGGATTAAAACAAATTCATAATAATAAATAAATATCAATTAGCATTTCTACCAAGAATAATGAGGAAAATGCCAACCGTGCAGTATTATCTCCAGAAGAGACCTGCAAAGCTGGTGGTCACTAATGTGTCGATTTCTACAGTTATATTAGCATTTACTCACTGCTAAGCTGAAGCTGCAATTAATGCTAAAATGTATTGACTTTTTTGTAAGTGATTTTTATTGTGTGTATATATGTGTTGTTTGCCTTCATGTATGTCATAGAGGACTTATGTTCCAGGTGCCGACAGAGGCCAGAAGAGGACATCGCACCTCTTAGAACTGGAGTTACAGATAGTTGTGGGCTGTCATGTCAGTGCTGGGGGGAAAATCCATACTCTGCAAAAGCACTAAGTGCTCCTGATCACTGAACCATCTCTCCAGCCCAAAATGTGCCTATCTGTAAAGAACTGCATCTATTTAAAGGATAAAGACCTCTTCCATGCACTTCAAAACTTTCCTAGTTCCAGCTTTGTAGATGAACACAGACTTCAGATCTTTTGAGTTTTAACCCAATTTGCTAAATGGTTTAGCTAAATCTCGATTTTTATCTTTGACCCTTCTACTTTCTGTGGGCTTTTCTGTGGTATCATACACTATATGATACCAAATGAAATAAGTGATGGCTGACCTGAAAACCACTGCTTCAACTTCTCAGGATGGACTGATAAAACCTTCCACTCCCCAAAACACTCCTATTCTGCAACTCAGCAGACCTTCTATCTTAGTTGTAATTTGTCTACAACACTTACTTGTTAACCTGTTCATTCCTTTACAATCATTCCAAGCTTTATCTTCTTTATTCATTTGCAGCTGCATGCTCAGCTTTTGATAAACTGATGGTATTGCCTGGAGGAACACTACTGGTAATTTCCGGACATTACACCATTCACATTTAGTTAGATCAGAGGTATTTAAAATAATCTCTACAGGATCACTATCTGGTGCTACAGGGAAAGAATGAAAAATGAAAAAAGAGTAAATTTTTAAGCTGGTACATCATAAATGGAGGAACTACAAGCTTAAAATTCATCATTTACCATACTCTATAAACTATGCTTAAGAACTTCAAGCTGGGCATGGTACCTTTAATCCCCAGCACTTGGGAGGCAGAGTCAGGTGGATCTCTGTGAATTTGAGGCCAAACTGGTCTACAAAGTGAGTTTCAAAGACAGCTAGGGCTACACAAAAAAATCCTGTCTTGAGAAACAAAATAAACAAATAAATAATGACAACAACAAAAACAAACCTCACCAAACAAAAAAAAAAAAGCAAAAGCAAAAAAACCCTTCATTTAAAAAACATTTTTTTTCTTCAAATAAAAAGGGGACTCTAAAGTATTAGACTTTGTTACACTGCAGAATGATACTACATAAAGACCTAAGCCCTTTATAAGATGTATTAATTTTTGAGTTCTAAAAATATGTATTACTATAAAAAATGGATCAGTGGAGACATAAACTTTAGTGCACGTACAGATAAAAAATAACTTACCATCTAGATGTATCTTGATTGCCTCTAAAGAAAACTTAAAAGAAAAAAAAAGACAAATTAGTGGTGATGTTAGACTTAAGAGTATGCAGTCCATATGTGTACAAACGGCAGAGAAGCTGAGCCAGACACCATGTGCTTAAATCTAAGATGAAACAGCCTCCCCTCAAAAAGAAAAAAATCTAAGACACTCTGAACTTTTATTAGAGAAGGTGACAGAATATTACAATGTTCATTAAGTTACTATTTCTACACATCTACATTATTCTTTATACATTATATTTTTACTTTTAAAAGGGCAGCAGTCATTACTTCATCCTCAAATCCTTCAGCATAAATTTTCTCAAAACAAAAACATTTTCCTACCAACTAAAACATCACCAGCACATCTAAGAAATCAAGACTAACATCTTCAACATAGTTTATCCTTAAATTTCCATAAATGTTCACAATTATTCACTGATCCTTGTTACTCTGTCACTACTATACAGCACATACACTGTGTCTACTTTACACTAGAAACTTGCCTCTCCAGTCTTTATGACATACATGGTTGTTATGTGAACTAAGTTATACAAAAATGCAATCTCCATATCCAGGTCATACATTTCCAGTATAAGTAACAATGGGTAATGTGCTAAGAACCCACACTATCATACTGCAAGCGTCAGGCTGTCCCACCGTGATGGTAAGCATATTCACTTGGCCTCAGCATTGTTTCCATAATTGTCCCCTTGTAACTAAATCTGAACAAGATACTTAGTGTGTGGATTATCTTTTACCCATTAACATTCCATCCTTGAATCATTTTAATGGTTATAAAATGGCTTAATTTTAGCCAGGTGGTGATGGCACACACCTTTAAGCCCAGCATTCAGGAGGAAAAGGCAGGCCGGCCTGGTCTAGAGAGTGAGTTCCAAGACTTGCCTCTCCTACAGTAAATTTAACACCAATTTACATTGTATCTGCATAACCACTAGTCTTTACTGGGTTACTATTTATATAATCTTAAAGCAATCCAAAATCTCTAAGTAGTTTTGATATTTGATTAACTTCAATAATTTAACAAACTTTAAATATTATTGATTAACCTTGTCAGTGGCATCTGAGTCTTGGTACTAGTAGAGCCACAGTTTGCAAAAGTACTTACAATTACAGGCTCTACCAATAGTCGGAAGAGCGTTCCAACTCGTATACTTCGGCAGTTTAAAATGACACTTCCAAAGTTTAGGGGAGGTGACAGTGACACAGAGTGAATTAAAGTTCCGTGAGTGTTTATTTTGCGACGTTTTAGAGGTGTGCTGATGGGATTACCAAGCTGAAAAGGGAAAGAAAATTTGACACAGTAAGGTACTGTAAGAAGGCTGCAAACTGAACACACATGCACAACACTACATGGACTGACTGTCCTTCCTCAGTGTGAGAGGAAATAGAAATTATGGCTATAATATAAATTTGCAGGTTATGAGTTGTAATTCAAGCACAATAGTCAGGAATTAAACTCACAAATCACACTGGGTATGTTCAAAACAAGTCAAAATATCAACTAATGATTTTGCAAAAATTAGTAGCTTCCTTAAGTTTCAGTTTCCTAAAATGAAAAGCACTGAGGGCTAAGGTTGCCTCTATTCAGAAGAGTAAAGTCCCCAAGGCAGGTAATAGACAAGCTGTTGGATGAGTGCCAGTGATGAGTAATAGTGCTGGAACTGAAGACAAAGCATCATTACTTAGCAAGTAAGAGAATATTAATAGTTTAAAAAGGATATCTTATATATTCACTGGAACCACTGGTATGGTATGAAACCACGTAGTAGGTAAAGGCAATTCTGCTCACCTGAGTTCAAACCCACACAACCTACACAGAAGAAAGAACCAATTCTGCTAGCTGTCCTCTAAGTTCACATTTGTATTGTGGCAAGTGAATACCCAAACATATTAAATAAATAAATGTTTAATAAAAACCAGAATTATTTCATACTCACAAATGCAAACAAATCACAATATGAACAATATTTTACATTTACAATTTCAATTAAAATTAATTGTGTTTACATAAATCACATATACATTATCTGAATGTGTGATATCAGAAGTGTTTCAGATTTAGGAATATTTTTGCATACGTTTTACTAGTTAAACATTCATAATCTCAAAGTCCCAAATCAAAACCCACCTAACTAAGTTTCGCTCTTTGGAGCACTTCAGACTCAAATTTTTCATAACCTGCAATAACCATATTACCAAAGAATAAACATGATATGAACAAAAAATTTTTTAAAATTCCAAACTAAACCAAACAACAAAAGCCATGTACCCTATATGGACAGACAACAGTCCCATTATCATTCTGAGATACTTCTAGGGTCTGTCAAAGAACAAAATTCACATAAAGCAGTAAGTATACAAAGTCCCTCAAACACCACCCCAAGTTATCAGTGCAAGCAAAGTCAGAGTTTCAGGATATAAAATAAATCAATAAAATCAACAGTGTTGCCATATACCTATAGCCAATTATCTGAAATAAAAATAAAAGACGTAACAGCAGCTACAAGAAAATAAAACATCTAGACATAAAATTAGGCAAGGATGTTAATATATCTATGAAAAAGAAACTGAAGACATACAAACAGAGGAAAAGGCATGGTAGGTTCAGGAAGAAGAATCAGTATCATTATAATATACACACCAACCAAAAGATAGTTTCAGAGTTAATGCAAACTCTAAGTACCAATAAGATTTTTCGAAGATCTGGGAGGAAAAACAAAGAAAAAAACAAAAATCTAAAACAAATCTTGCAGGGCAGTGGTGGCACATGCCTTTAACCCTGGCACTTGGGAGGCAGCCGCAGGTGGATCTCTGAGTTCGAGGCCAACCTGGTCTACAAGAGCTAGTTCCAGGAAAGGTTCCAAAATTACAGAAAAACTCTGCCTCAAAAAAAAAAATCAAATAAATAAATAATAAGAATTAAAAAAAATAAAACAAATCTTAATGCTTTTTTATTTTAATTTTTTGGCTTTTGACACAGGGTTTCTCTGTATAGCCTTTGATGTCCTGGAACTCACTCTGTAGACCAGATCTTTGTGTAGTCTTTGATGCCCTCATACTCAGACTCAGAGATTCACCTGCCTCTGCCTCCCGAAGGCTAGGATTAAAGGAGTGAGCCACCACCATCCTGCTGCAAATTTTAACACTTTATATGTAACTATGCAATAAAAAAAAGGGGGGGAGGAGGAGATAGAGAGAAATCCCTGAATACTACAGTCACCTTGAGGAAAAAGAAAGCTATTATCTGACTTCAAAATATATTTCAAAACCATAGTGATAAAAATGGCATGGTAGTGAAATTAACACATACCAACAGGTCAACCAATAGACCAATGGAGTAGAATAAAAAACCTGGAAGTAATTAAATTCATGTTTTTACAGGCAAATAAATTTTTTTTGCTTCTCCATTTTAGTTAATGAGTATGTCTATGTATGCACACTACTGGAGGGGGAAAGGGGATAGCTTGAGAGATGGTTTTGATTACTGTACACTGGGAACTGATTTCTTGACGACTTATCTTAGTCTTTAACAAAGGAGCTATCATTTCAGCCCTTGTTTTGGTTTGTTTTTTTTTTGAGACTGGACCTTTGTATAGTCTTTGATGTCCTCATACTCAGGAACCTCTTGCCTCAACATCCCAAGTGCCCTGCTACAGATAACATATTTTTGACAGAGGTGCTAAGGATATACACTAGAAGAAGGACAATCTTTGTCAAGAAATGATGCAGAAATAATGTGGTATCAGGAGGCACAAGAATGAAACAGAGCTGGAGAAATGGTTCATAGATTAAGAGAATTTGCTACTCTTCCAGAGAACCTGAGCACATGGTGTCTCACAACCATACAACTCCAGTTTCAGTGGGTATCAGGCAGCCAGTGATACACAGAATACATACAAGCAAAACCCCCATACAAACAAAAAAAATTAAAATATATTTTAAAATTAATAATGAAAAAGACCCCCCCTCCCCCCCCAGGGGCTAGAGAGATAAATCAGGATAAGAGCACAAGCTGCTCTTCCAGAAGACCTGAGTTCAATTCCCAGCAACCACTAGGTGGCTCATAACTGCCCTCTTCTGGTGTGTGTATACATAATAAAGAATCTTCTTTTGTTTGTTTGTTTTTGTTTCTGTATTTGAAGATAGAATTTCTCAGTAGCTATGGAGCCAGTCCTTGAACTCACTCTGTAGACCAGGATGGCCTCAAACTCACGGGGATTCGCCTGCCTCTGCCTCCCAAATACTGAAATTGACACAAAGAGATCTTTAAAACAAAGCAAAACAAACCAACTCTAAATTGATTAAAGCCTCAGCATAAAGCCAGCCACCCTGAACCTTACAGAAGAGAAAGTGGGAAATACACAGGAATGTTGCAGGAGCTCCTTCCGCTCCTTCAGCCAATAGCTGCTGAGATACCAGCCCATTAGAGCGTGGTCTCTCTTTAAAAAAGCTGCCACTGCACTCCGCTCGCTCTCTGGCCGGAAGCCGAGCCGACTAGGCTCCCTTCCTGATTGCTTGGAGGGCTGTTGTCTAGGACGGTGATCTGTAAGTTTTTCCCGTTTAAATAAATAACCATTCTATTAATCATAATTCCAAACTGGTGTGGGATTGTTTGTGACTTACGCCTTCACATGAATGCATTGGCACAGGAGACCACTTCCTAAATATAACCCCAGCATCACAGACACAAAGAGAAACAATTAATAATGGGACCTCCTAAAACTGAAAAGTTTCTGAAAAGCAAAGGACATGGATCTTGGTTTATTGATACAAATTTAAGGTCAATTCTGTTATGTGTACTTCTGCTCTTGATTAAGGTGTTGTGTTTGTGCAGTCATTTAAAAATGTAATGTATAATTAAGAAACATAGGTTAATAAATAATCATCAATAATAGTCAAGTTGGTAGTCATGTTAGATTTTCTAGATAGATATATGTATTTCAGATGGATAGGTATTCTTCAAACCTTTCAAAGACTATAGAATATGGCATTTAAAATTTAGGACTTTTAATGACAATGAGACACATCAGCTCCTGGCAGCATCGATTACTTCAAGAGGAAGATGGGCACTGAAGAGACTCCTTATGGAGTTGATTAGCCATTTGAGCAAGAAACTGTTCTTGCCTGTACTGTTTGATGGCATGCTATGTGAACTTGACATGCAGGACCCACAGAGAGATGACTGCCTGAAGGTGAGAATGTTCTTCAGGGTTCCTGCTTCATGAAACAGTCTGCGAGACATTCTGCAGGACACAGAAAAATGTGACTGATAAACTGCCAATATAGGAGGAACTGTGTTTGAAATTTCCTGCTTCATGGAAAAGATTGCTGGATACTATGGGCCTATAGGGTGAAGATGGATGCCCTAACAGTAAAAAAGAAGAACTTTGGGTGACTGTCCAGGCAGTAGGATGTCTCTGTCAATTCTAGAGTTTTGGAAGTTGCTTATAATACTTCCTGTTTACTTAGGTAATATTATATTCTTCTAGAGTCTTTGATGGAGTTGAAGAATTTATAGTTATAGTTTTCCTTAGTAATGATAAAAGATAAAGTAGATATAAATATTGTAACTGTAATTATTACTTGGTACCTGTTTTATTATATGTAAATTTACTATGTTGAAGATAAAGCCTTCCTTTTCATTTAAACAGAAAAGCGGGGGGAGGTGATGTGGGATTCCTCTCTGTATGCTGTGAATATCATTGGTTAATAAAGGAACTGCTTTGGGCCTAGAGAGGAACAGAGCTAGGCAGGAAAAACTAAACGAAATGCTGGGAGAAAGGAGTCGGAGTCAAAGAGAAGCCATGGAGTTTCTGGAGACTTTGCTGGTAGGCCACGACCTCATGGTGATAGACAGATTAATGGAGATGTGTTAAATTAATATGTAAGAGTTAGACAATAAGAAGCTAGAGCTAATGGGCCAAACAGTGGTTTAAGTAATATAGTTTCTGTGTGATTATTCAGGAGCTAAGTAGCTGGGAACAAACTAGTGGCCTCCTTACTACACCTAGTAAATAATTAAAATTTCATCTTCTTTAAGCAGCTCTTCCTTGGTAACTTACACTTTTTATTTGGTGGCTTACATCTGACAGCATGTCCAACTTATGCTCTGATGGCCGCATGCAACCAACAACAGTTATGAGCACAATCTTAAACATTATGAGACTTAAACAAACAATAGCAACTCAACTGTTCACATCTCCAGCATGAACTTTGTAGTTTATCTCAGAGACTGTCACTTTATAGTGACCATCACCTTACATTGTCAAAAGGTTGGGCATATCTGGTCCTTATTATTCTTTTTCTCTCCTCAGTTTTAGTTACTTAACATTTATCTATTTAATAGGGAGGGACAGTGCTATGCTATGGTAGTCATGCACATGGAAGTCAGAGAACAATTTGTAGGAACAAGTTTAATCTTCTATCATGTAGGTCCTGGGAACTGAAATCAGATTATCAGGCTTGTTAGCAAGCACCATTACTTGTAGAGCCATCTCGCCAGCCCTGTTCTCTCACATTTAATAACACTCGATCTATTTCAATATAGTATATCACTTGGATTAAAAATATTCTATGAATCTTTTTATTTACCTCACTTTACCTTTTTTCATATGAATGTTTTAAAATTTTAAAGCAAATTATAAACTATGGTAAGATGTAACTATATACTATGGAGACATACACTGAAATTAAAATAACATCCAGACTATTACGTTTTCTAAGAAATACACACATAGCCACATGCATGTATGCAAGCACTTCATCCCTAAAGTCTAAACTACCCCAAACCCTGAACCTTCCTAAGCTCCAACATTGCACACCTGAACTAAAGTGATGCATTGCAGTAAAAAATGCAAGTGAAGATGGCTTTGTGGTTAAGAGCACATACTGCTCTTCCAGAAGACCCAAAGTCAGGTCTCAGCACCCATATCAGGTTACTTACAACTGCTTGTAATTCCAGCTCCAAAGGATATGAGATCTGTGGCCTCTGCTGGTGCCTGCACTCACGTGCACATACACACACATATATAAATAAATAAAAACAAGAAATTTTACAAGAATAAAACTGAAATACTGTATAAAACTCAAGATTATCTGTACACTGTTACATGACAAATACAAATAATTCCCCTTTAGGCTTAGGTCCTACATCCAAATATCTAATTATATGTATGCAAATATTCCAATTTTTAAAAAGCTGAAACTTAAAAACATTTCTTAGTCACAGACATAATGGAAAGGAAACCCGTACTGACATCTTGTTAAAAATAATACTAGTCTCTCTCTCCTCTCTCTCTCTGAGACAGGGTTTTTCTGTGTAGCCCTGCCTGTCTTAGAACTTGCTTTGTAGACCAGGCTGGTCTTGATCTTCCAGCCTCTGTCTCCCAAGTGCTGGGGTTAAAGGTGTACACAACCACCACCATACTCATACCCCCCACCCCCACCCACACACATGCACACTTTTTTCCTTGGATTTTTAACTTAAGTTTTTGGTTAAATTGCAACTCACTTTGTATGTAGTTTAATGGTCTTCTAAAGGAATCTTTTTTTTTTAAAGATTTATTTATTTATTATGTATACAACATTCCTTCAACATTCCTTCCATGCATGTTTGTATGCCAGAAGAGGGCACCAGATCTCATTATAGATGGTTGTGAGCCACCATGTGGTTGCTGGGAATTGAACTCAGGACCTCTGGAAGAGCAATCAGTGCTCTTAACCTCTGAGCCATCTCTCCAGCCCCCTAAAGGAATCTTTTTTTTTTAAATATTCATTTATTTATTATGTATACAATATTCTTTCTACATGTATGCCTGCAGGCCAGAAGAGGGCACCAGACCTCATTACAGATGGTTGTGAGCCACCATGTGATTGCCGGGAATTGAACTCAGGACCTTTGGAAGAGCAGGCAATGCTCTTAACCGCTGAGCCATCTCTCCAGCCCCCTAAAGGAATCTTTTAACAGTATTTGAACACAGATTTGTGACTAAGCCATCTTCTCCTGCTGTCATTAACAAATGACTCCTGAAAACCAGAGGGTACACCCCAAACGGAAGACCTGAATGTACCTGGTCCTTCATTCTTGCTTTTCTTGGTATGACAACTGTGTTTAACTCTGAATCTGCTGGGTTGCTTCTAGATTCTTGCTCTGTTCTGCAAATATTTGCATTTAGTGCAGCTTCTACTTTTCCAGTCGATGGCGCTGGGGAAGAACACGCGGAGTCTGCAGGCTGTGGGGATATGCTCTCTCTTCTGCTAGTCCTCTCATCCTCATCGTCATCACTGGACAAAATGACTACAATCATAAAGAAAATCCAAAATTTACATTAAAGAAATTTTACATTTATATTTCATTTTTGTCAGCTAAAAACTTAACTGGAAACTGATTTCAATATTGTATTACCCTTTGATTTCAATATTGATTTTTGTTGTAGAAATTTACTTGCAACTGTAAGAACAGAGACAATGTCTCGCTCACTGCTATATTCTAGGACCTAAAAAGGGGGGATGGGGGCATTAAAAATACTACATAATGTTCGAGGCCAGCCTGGTCTACAAGAGCTAGTTCCAGGACAGGAACCAAAAGCTACGGAGAAGAAAAACAAAACAAAACAAAACAAAAAAAACTCACAACTACATAATATCTTTAAAACTTTCCAATGTTAAGGGTAAAAAGTTGGCTAAAGACACTCTGGTGATACAGTTGCCTATGAACTACTTACTCCTTTAATAAAGGGAGTGGGGTTTTAAAAAAGGCATGATGTATGAACTTACACAGCAGTAAGTTCATTATAGCACCACACATATACATGCGTAGTTAATACTAAGTAATGTGCAATGCTCCAGATGGTCATCACTCCAATAACATCCACTTACCCTTTGATTTTGCTATCTAGTTTCATAACAAATACTGGCCTTTTATTATTTTCAAGGTTGGTTATTTGATTTAATTTCTCTCCTCTATGAAATCAGAGACAACAAGGTTATCTATTTCACAGGATTACTGCATAGATATATAAAATCCTATTATAGAGATTGGTACCTATAAACTTTTAAGTTGTGTATGTACTTTCTTTAACATGGCTTTAAAATGCTTGCAAATTATCTTGCCTTGTGGTAAGAAAACTAATTTCCACTGAGTCCTTTCTATGTGTCAAATAAATTGAACTATGGTTACCTGTCATTTATATGCTATTTTATTTCTTCAGAATACTAACAAAGGAGCTGGGGAAACAGTTTGGTTGGCAAACCCTTGCAAGCATCCAATACCTGAGTTTGATCCCAGAACCCTATGTAAGAAAGCTAAGCATGGTAATTTTTAGATCCAGCATTGGGAAAGAAGAAACAGGCTGACCCCTAAGGTTCACTGGCCAGTCAGGCTAGCCTATTTATGCACCAAGTACATACACAAAAAGTCTAGACAGTAGATACAGGCTATGTCAAAAAGATCAATAACTAGAACAAGCAAAGATACTACTGTTTTTTTTATTGACTATTTTAACATGAGGGGAACGGGAACAAAGTAAGTTACTACTCTCACAACTACATAGACAAGTTTGAATCACATGAGCCCCAAATGCTAAATATCTGCCACAAAGACACCTCTGGAAACTGTATTTCTCAAATACGCACATATTAAAACACAGACAATTAAAATATTGAATTGTTACTGAAGAATACAGTTAATACAGTGTGGTGGCGCACACGTGGGCCCCAGAAGCATAGGAGCAAAGGTTGGCAGCTCACTGGAACCCAATGGAGCAGGCCCATGGGTTTCTAAGTCTCAGGAAGGGATAGAGGACAGGAAGAGGGTACTTACTTGGATCATTCAGATCTGACAAGCTTGTCTTTTGTTCTTTCGGGTTTGTGAGTTTAGGTATTTTTCCTCCAGGTAGAATGACTTTTCCATTAGTCTGGATGTAATTATGTCTACTAGCATCACAAGTCACCAAAATATCTATTGGAATCTTCTCCACACTGTTACCATAAAACTTCTTGGCTGTTAATCCTGTGGTTTGTGACTTCTGTCCTCCAGAATTCTGATGAATTGACGTTCTTAGTAAAGGTCCAGTGGATTCATGCAAAGTTATAGCTTGTCTGCAATTTCTTTGCAAATCATTATGAAAAACAATACCACAACTTTGGCATTTGGTCTGATTTTCTTTTTCTTTTCCACATTTTGGGCAACATTCACGCTGTTCAGATACCTTATATTGAAAAGAAAAGAAAACAAAAGAAAAGAAAGAAAGACTGACTTTGGTATTTTAAGTTAGCATCAAAAAGCTCCTTTAAAAACTTTCCAAATGATGTTTTGTTTTGCCATCATCACTACCATGGCCTCCCTAAGATTCTGAATGAGTCATGCTATTTGGGGGTTAGCAACAGAAAGCTAGAAAAAATTTCAGGGTCATTCTGTCCAACAGTTAGCTATGATAAGGTAATTTTCATCCTTAAGAATCAGAATGAGGGGCTGGAGAGATGGCTCAGTGGTTAAGAGCACTGCCTGCTCTTCCAAAAGTCCTGAGTTCAATTCCCAGCAACCACATGGTGGCTCACAACCATCTGTAATGAGGTCTGGTGTCCTCTTCTGGCCTGCAGACATACACACAGACAGAATATTGTATACATAATAAATAAATAAATAAATAAATAAATATTTTTTTAAAAAAAGAATCAGAATGAAAAGAGCTAGGATAGGAAAGGACACTGATTTGCATGCAATGGAGCCTAGGTTTGATTTTCAGTCCCACAAACAAAAAAGAAACACCCCAAGTGCTTGATTTCAATTTTACTTTCTACAATAAAGGTATATAAAACATACTTAGAAGGAAAGTACTTGGAAAGACAGCAGTTCCAGGTATTCTTTCTAGAAATATGATACTAAAACATAGTAAGGAGATCCATACCTTTCATGAGCTAAGACACACACACACATCAAATTAACTGCAGCAATCAGAAACAAAACGCAATCAATGAACCGAATTAGACACTAAAGTTTTAATGATAAAAACTAGAGGTTAAGAGTTCAGGGATTCAATGGTTAAGATAACAAACTTATATTCTCTTATAGAGAATCTGAGCTCAGTTCCCATGTGGCTCAAAATAGACTATAAAGTCTAGCTCCATGGAGATCGGACACCTCTGGCTTCTGAGGGCACTGTACCCACAAGTACAGACACAGACACATATGCAAAATTAAAAATAATTGCAAGCGGAGAATGGTGACATACACCTGTAAGCACAGCACTTGCAAGGCTGAGGAAGAGTGAAGGGCAGCCTGAGTTGCACAGTGAGACAACAGACAAGCATGCACATACACATGCACCACCGGCAAATGCAGCTGAGGATAAAGCTTACCCCTAGTTTGTATCTACTGCATCATGGAAACCCAAATCCAAATGAAACTATTAAAAATGAATTGCGAAATGAAACACTATCTAGTTTTCCTAAGGTAAGGTATATATAACACTCCCTTTCTTCACTTCATTATTTTTGATTTTCTGAGAAAAGGTTTCATCAAGAAGCACCAGCTGCCTTGGAAGTCACTGTGTAGATCACATTATCTTTTTTTTTAATATTTATTTATTTATTATGTATACAATATTCTGTCTGTGTGCATGCCTGCAGGCCAGCAGAGGGCACCAGACCCCATTATAGATGGTTGTGAGCCACCATGTGGTTGCTGGGAATTGAACTCAGGACCTTTGGAAGAGCAGGCAATGCTCTTAACCTCTGAGCCATCTCTCCAGCCCCCTAGATCACATTATCTTGTACTTGGAGCAATCCTCCTGCCTCTCTCTGACTGATGAGTGATGGGATTATAGACTTGTACAGCTTAAAGTTTTACTTGTTTACATAAAGTAAAAATTTTCATGACAATTCTTTATGAAAACAAAACTTGATTAAAACCTAATTTTGTTTCATTTAACTCGTCATTAAAAAACCTTGCAAAGTTAAATAAGTTCAAATTACAGAGTTAGTGGAGTAAATTGATACTAAGATTCTTTCAGCATGAAGTTTAATCCTCAAAACTCCAACAACACTACAAATCTAATATTGCATACTATGTCCCAGACTCTATACATGAAAAAAAAAACCTTAATTAAAACAAGCCTGTCTCAAACAATGACATTCTTACTATGTATCCAAAACATGTTCAATTACATTAAATTCAAAGATCCTTCCCTTCCTCCCTCCTTCCTTCCTGTTTTCTTAAAAGCAAGCAGTGTTGAGTCTTACAGTCTTAAATAGAAAGATAAACCACTAATCTTGTTTGTTTAATTAAGATTACAAAGAGACCGTCTCCAATTTTTCCACTCTCTAAGGGGAAATGGGATCAACAGGCACAGAAGTAGAGTCAAAAAGGTCTTTAGGTTTGATAAAGCAGTTCTGAAGCAGTTTAAGCTCTGAACTGGCAGCCCGGGGAGGAAGGATGTGGTGAGAGAAGGAGCACCCCCCTTCCCCCTTTCTCCTTTTAAAAGACACTAGCATGGTCTCAGCCAACTTTAGCTGGCAAGCAAGGAGACTGATCAACAGGAAAACTGAGTAAATACTTAAAAAATTCAGTAGGGATGAGAGTTGGCCAAAATGAATGACAATCCTACAAAGGGCAAAAGATAAACAATGAAATAAACTGTGCTTCTGTATCCAGACACCCAGACCCAAATAATCACATGAAAACTACATTAATTAGAACACTGTTTAGTCAATGGCTCAGGTATATTCCTAGCTAGCTCTTACATTTTAAATTAATTTCTATTATTTTATATTTTATGACGAAGCTCATATTTGCTACCTCACATTTTGCTTCTTCGGTGGCTACATTGTGTCTGCCTGATTCTGCCTTCCTTCTCCCTGCATTCAGTTTAGTTTTCCCACCTAGCTATATTCTGTCATAAGCCAAAGAAACTTATTATCATCCAATGATAATAAAACATATTCATAGCATATAGAGAGGAATCCCACATCATCTCCCCTTTTCTGTCTAAATTAGAAGCAAAGTTTTAACTTTAACATGGTAAAATTACATATAACAAAATAGGTATCAAGCAAGAATTACAATTACAATATTTAATCTATTTATATCTGGCAAAATTAAAGAAAATATTCTATCATCTATTTTATCTTTGTGAGTCTAAAGTTCAACATCTAATTTATCTTTTATCATAACTAAGGAAAACTATTTGTCTTCAAGCCCATGAAAGACCCCAGAAGGATATAATATTACCTAAGTATTCAGGAAGTGCATTGTAAGCAAGTTCCAAAACTCTAGAACTGACTTTTCTATAACAAGTTCCATAAATTCCATAACAAGTTTCTTCTATGGCCATCAACCTCTTAACTGGTGCTGCCAGAAGCAGATGTGTCTCACTATCAAGATAAGTCTTAAATTCTTAAAAACTTTTAAATTCTGTAGGTCTTTGATGTATTGAAGATTATCTAACTGAAATATATCTCTGTATATCTAGAAAATCTATCATGACAAGACTGACTATTATGAATGACTATTAATCTATAATTTTTAATCATACATCACATTTTAAATGAGCTGTATAAACATAATACCATAAAGGAGTAGAAATATACATACAACAAAATTGACCTTAAATTTTATCAATAAACTGAAGTCCATATCAATGTAAAGCATTCATTTCTATATCACATCTCATATCCTTTTTTAAGAAACTGATTGACTGTGACCATTGACCACTTAAAATCAATTCTTTTTAAATAAAAACAAGCATTATAGACAATCATTTTAGGAATTTGAGCATTGTTTTCTCCAAACTGCTTCCTAATATTTGTGGGGCTTTTTTTTTTTTTTTTTTTTGATTTTTCGAGACAGGGTTTCTCCGTGGCTTTTGGTTCCTGTCCTGGAACTAGCTCTTCTAGACCAGGCAGGCCTCGAACTAACAGAGATCCTCCTGCCTCTGCCTCCCGAGTGCTAGGGCCACCACCGCCTGGCCCTAATATTTGTTGGGTGAAGTTTTTTAGGGGGTCATGGAGACAGGGGTCTTGGCCCATCAAATCACACTAGCCTGGAAAGAATCCACAGGTTCCCATCCTCTGTGAAAACCAACATTAAATCTCTTTTCCAAAGTCATATACCCTTAGACTCAAATTTTGAAGTCAAGATACCCTTAAAATATATGTTGGTTTAGAAGTCCCCAAAATCAAATGTCTCTCTGTAGTTAGCTCATTAACAGCCAAAAATTTAAAAGAAAACACAATAGTGATGTGGGAATGTCACAATAATATACAAAATTCAGATTCTCTATGTATTTTCCATCTTTATATATGGCTTTTTAATATAACTTTTACTATCTCTTTAAATACTTTGTTTTATAAAACTGTTTCTATAATTGTCTATACCCATTTTCTTTTTGTTTCTAAAGCCTATCAATGTTTTTTTTAAACACACTGTGACCCATTGAGAGGTTTATTTTTATCTGAATTTGTCTTTATTGCGTATGTATAATCCTTTTTTGATCACTGTTGTGAACTGTTAAGCAGGCATGGCTAGGACCAGAGCAGCCACTTTGGCTGCCAGTTCCACCCTGTTTAGCTTTCCAACATGGCAGAGCTCCATTTACCACCCACCAGCTCTGGGAGCCATGTTTATCACCCCAACTCTGAAAAGCAGTTGGCCCACGTTGCCCGCAAACCCCATTCAAGTGCTCCACAGAAGGACCTCTAAAAAGATCCCTCCATTCTACCAGCATGAACCAGGAAGTTTCTTAAAGGAGTTGCGCATCTACTCACCACCAGCAAACAGAGCCTATCTGAAAAAAAAAAAAAAAAAAAAACTGGAGCTACCAAGAAGCTACATTTGGCTTCCATTTTTGGGGGGGAGATGGGTCTGGAAGCCCTCTTATTTTTTCCTTTTTTAAGTTTTTCGAAGTTTGATATGGATCCATGCCAGACAGTGAGTGCCATTTGTACACATACACAGTCATAAAATTAGATTTTAAGATAGTAATAAAGTTCTCTACCTACCTCTAAATGGGTCAAACACTTCTTTGAAGCAGGGGAAAGTGGAGATAGCTGATAGGTACTACAGTGCCGTTTCTGCTGTACTTTCCTCTTAATTTCAGGCTCTATATATGATTCCGACTCTTCTGTTTTCTTCATTATACGATCTAAAGGAAACAGGAGTGAAAAGCACTCAACTTAAATTTATTAAATTCTTCATGATCTTTGTTACAGAAGAAAGAGTTAAAGTACATATTTTCAAACATTAATTTTTTAGTTAAAATGGGATAGTGTGTAAACATGTATGATAAAGAATGATCAGAGGCTAGTGGACATGAATTTGATTCTCAGGACCCACATGATGGAAGAAGAGAACTCCTGAAAATTGTTCACTAATGACTTGTTTACTAACACACCAACATGCACATACACAGTCACACACATAAATGTGAAAAACAAAAATCAAGACCTTTAAGACTAAGGCAGTAATGTCCATGCTACTGTTACTTACCTGGTTTTCCCTTCTCAAGATTTCTATGCTGCAGACTACTTCCTTAGTATGGCAACGTTTTATTCAGTTGAAATAAGGCAACAAACATACTATACTAAACCACAGATGTCCTTTCCCCCAACTTAGCTTTGTTCTTAGATTACTAATAAGAAAACAGAAATTCAAAATATTTGCTATAAAGATTTAGATAAAGAACTGACCCTTAAGCTATGTGTAGATGTTTTTGTGGTAGTGGTTATTTGGATATGTATTATTCCCCTAGAAATATGAGAATTGTCTTCATTATGTTTCAATGTAATTGCTCTATTGGCACACCCTCGACTTTGCTAAATAATTCTAATATTTCTTTTTTAATCTACCCCCTTTTGAGATGAGGTCCAGCTATGTTAACCTGGCTAGCATGAATTCACTATGTAATCCAGACTAGCCTTAAATTTGTGTGCTTTCTTCTGCTTCTGGGTCCCAAATGTTACAGCAGCCATATACCACCATATCCAGCTTCCTTTTCTGTTCTGAAGTTTTCAAAACTTCATGAACAAGCCAGCCTTGTTTCTCTGTTTCTTCTCACAGAGGTTCATTTCTCCAGTGCAGTTTTATTCTCTCTCTTACGTTTCTCTCCATGAAGCAACATCTACTCAATTTACCTGATGAATCCACATTCTTTTTTGCTAAGAAACTGCCTTTATCCCACCCTGGCCAATTAATCAATCCATAGTTGCCATGGTACCCAATTTGTATTTATAGTAGCACTCATTAAATAATAAAACACTTGCTTGTACTAGTCTATTGTTTTCAATATGCCTATGAAAAATAAGGTTTTTCTAGATGGAGTTTCTTTGTGTAACAGCCCTGGCTGTCCTGGAACTCACTTTTGTAGACCAGGTTGGCCTCGAACTAACAGAAAGCGGCCTACCTTTGCCTCCCAAGAGCTGGGATATATCCCACCACCTGGCTGTGTCACCACCACCTGGCTGTCATATATTTTTTTAACACCCAGAAACTACGAAAGACAAAAACTAGACAAGTATTTTTGCATATTGATGAATTGCATGAAGACAAAACTATATGATGCATTTAAGTATGAAATTAGTGAGGTGTGGTGGTGCATGCGTTTAATTCCAGTACTTGGGAGGCGGAAGCAGAGGAACTTAGGGGAAGAGATGCTGTTTCTATGTGACCTTTGAAAATGAATTACCCGTTACTATACAGATAATGAGCCATGCATACATAAACTTAGAACCTGAAGCCTTAGCCTACAGCCAAAGGACATAAAAGACAAAAAGACAGAAAACAAAACAAAAAACTTATCAAAGTTTTACCCTTATGTTACACACAGAAACAAGCTAGTCTAGATGTTAGTGGCTTTAATAAGGGATAGTTTATTTGCTATTTCTTTTGTTTTTGTTTTTTTCAAGACAGGGTTTCCTGTGTCTTTGGAACCTGTTGTCTGTCCTGGAACTACTAGCTCTTTGTAGACCAGGCTGGCCTTGAACTCACAGAGATCCTCAGGCCTCTGTCTCCCAAATGCTGGGATTAAAGGCGTGCACTGCCACCACCCGGCTTACTTTGCTATTTCTAAACAGATTTTCACTTTGTGGAAATTTTATTATAGTGGAATAGCTATACTATTCCACTCTGAGTAAAAAAGAACACAGACTTTTTTTTAAATCAGAAAGTACATAAATAGGTGTCCAGAATATAATGAATTCCTTGTAAAAATTAATTACAGCAAAGTAAGTCTGAAAACATGGCCCTCAACAGGATATGGGTTATGAGTACCTGAAAGGCCAAGGCAGGGAAATGGAGCCCAGGAGTAAACAGACCAGACTGAGAAACACAGGGCATGCCTCAAAGGATTCCTCAACTCCTTTAAACAACAAATCTGCTTCAGATTTGTTTTATTTTATTTTGAGACAGGTCTCACTATGCAGCCCTGGTTGACCATGACCTTGAAGAATATTGGGGTTAAAGGCTAGGACACCAGGCCCCACTGAGATTTCTTTTTATTAAACTCAATTATGAACATAAAGGAAAATCCACAATAAAATATAAAAGCTTCATTAGAATTTATAAACTGAACACAAGATCTGTGCACATTATTCAGTTCAAGTTATGTATTGGTTTTCTGGCAAATGTTTCATAAATACAAATAATATTTAATTAAGTACAGTATAACAGTATGCATTCTATTTAAAATAAGTATATGGCCTTCTCTTTGTATATGAGAGGGGCCTAATAACAGGATTCCTTAAGACTACAATTTGTAAATAAATGCTTGTTACCTGAAAGAAATAGTGTAGTATACTTACATAATCTATACATATCTGTCTCTACATCACATCTAGATTATCTATGTTACCTAACATACTCTATAAGCTATGTAAGAGGTTATCTTACTATGCTGTTTAATGAATAAAAACAAAACAAAGGGGTATATGTTCAATACAGATGCAATTTTTTATTAAACCAAGGTATTATTTTTCACTTTAATTTTCCATAATAACTTATACTGTTAAATGTATGCTTTTGCAGAACCAAAATTAAGTATTAAGATCATGACTACCATACAGTGTGTTTAAAGCAGATGATACTGTGTTCATTAGCATCACTAAAAAGAAACAAGACCCAGATACCACAACTAAAGCAGAATTCTGTTTCTTAACTAAAGTTATTTAGAACTGTGAACTGCTGTAGGGCAAAATTCAAATACCTGTGCTCTTAAAAATCAACAAAGCTATGACTAAAGAAGTGATTATAATATTCTAATAACAGAAAAAAAAACGAACGTTCATGGAGATCAGTATTCTTAAAGGGTGAGAACAACAACTCCTCTTTTTAGATGGGGATTACTCTATTCATTCTGAGGGTGAACCTAGTGGGGACTCCTAGCAATGGAGGATACAAAACTTGAAGTGGACATCTTCTATAATCATGCAGGGTTTCCAGCGGGAGGACTGGGACATCAACCCGGCCACAAAACTTTGATATACATTCTGTCCTGACTGCAAGGTGTGTTGAGAAAATGGTGACCTATAACTTGTGTTGAGGATCCAACCAATGACTGGTCTAGATTGAGACCCAAACTATGAGAGGGAACCCATGCCTGACACTGCCCAGATGACCAGGAACATAAGGCTGTATAGCCCAGAAACCTAGGGTAGAATCAAATACAACTGGTCAAAATATAAGTAATAAATGAAACAAAATGATTACATTGCTGTATCTAGGGGTCAGTCACACAACAATATGGCAGCAACCCTGAGAGAAGCTCACAGGCTCCTTTTATACACTGTGAGAGCAATTACATGGACAATTAGGTCATCTCCAGCAAACATGATTGGCTAAGCAAGCAATGAATACACTAGTTTAAATTTGATTGGTTGTCACACCTTTGGACATATCAGGGCAAGCCCGAACATGTATCAAAAAAAGAGGGCGTTATTTGCAGGATCTGCCCTTTTCTGATAGGCTGGCTCTAGCCTTCCAATTCTTTTTTCAAATACAATGATCATAGTTGCTGAATCTGCAGGCATACACTCCAAAGCTATGGAGGCTCACTGCACAGGGACAGAAAGGCAAGATTAAGTTTTAAGATGGACTGGTTGAATATGAGAGGACACATTCTGTACATGTGAATTAAGGAGTGATTTATCAGCTGACTGTTGTAATCCTAAAGTATAACTGCATGAAAATGTAGTTAAAATGTACATATTAAAAGATAGCATATAATGTCAATATTTCTAAACTTTTAAGAGGAATACTAAAAACAGTTGCAAAATGAAAAGGAAGCTTAATAAACAAAATGAAAAGCAGAAGGAAAATGAGTGTTTTTAATGTATCATATAAATGTGATCTTATATGCTTGGAAAAATTAGTACTATCAAACAAAACAAACAACAATGTGCTTTAACAAAACCTAAAAAATTAGTTAATAGTTAATAAACTGCCGGGCAGTGGTGGCGCACGCCTTTAATCCCAGCACTCGGGAGGCAGAGGCAGGCGGATCTCTGTGAGTTCGAGACCAGCCTGGTCTAAAAGAGCTAGTTCCAGGATAGGCGCCAAAACCAGAGAAACCCTGTCTCGAAAAACCAAAAAAGAAAAAAAAATAGTTAATAAGCTTTAATTTTTATTATAAATGCTACCAAAGGGTATACTAAAACTCACTATTAAATATATCCTAAACTCAAAAAATGGGAGCAAGTAGAATAATAAAAACTTAAAGCAAGAAAGACAGCTTAGAGGTAAAGGTGTGTGCTGCTAAATTCAATCCCCTGAGCCCACAAGGTAGAAGAATACACAGGCGAGCAGGGCTGCCTTCTGAAATCCACACATGGGATGTAGCACTTGTACTCCACGCACACACACACATGCAGTCATGTGCATACACACACATACCAATGAACTAAATAAATAAATGTAAAAAAATCATCTTGATATCAAGAACCCAAATTCTATTTAAATTGTAAAATTCATTTGATGCTGCTGGCGGTAACTTGTAATGTGTTTGAGCGCAGGTGTTGGGTGGTAGTTTAGGAGTCAAGTCTCTCCTTCCACCTTTGAGTGAGGGACCAAACTCAGGTTCTCAGATAGAAGTGCTCAAGCATTTTTATTCACTGTGCCATCTGGTCAGTACCACAGTGATTGCTTTTAAAGACAAAAATATTACAGGAACTATGCTAGAAACTAATGACACACAATCTCCAAAGAAAACACTAAAATTGCACGTGATCTCCATGCAGCACTATAGGCAATATATGCTAGTTCCATAGTTTATCCTATAACCAAGCATATATCTACCTGCCTAACAGAAAAGTGGCTGAAAATGGAAGGCTCCATTACCTTAATATAATTAAAAATAAGAGGTAGCATCTCAATATAATTTTTCCTTACTCTCAAGATGAGTACAGCCTTGGCTGGAATTTGTTCAATTGGTAAGTCAAGTGCTTACTTGGCATGTACAAAACCCTGGGTTCAATGTCTAGCACTATAGAAACCAAGAGTCTGTATCTGGGATACAAGACTCTCTTAAAAATACCTTCCCCTTGACAAAGTTTATAATTTAAATATGCAAATATTATCCTGAAATTTAAATACTGCCCATAAGGACTTACAAATAACAAAGAGTATAACTTTCCTGAAAATAAACGAAGAAAAGAGAAAATTATTAGACAAGAATCAAGTAATAACTGTTATATGAAAAAGAATAAATAAAAAATAAATGAAGAAAACAGAAAATTATTAAACAAAAATCAAGTAACAACCGTTGTATGAATGAATAACAACTACATTAGGACCCACTAATGAAGCTATGGATGCAGTGCAATTCTATAATACCAGAACTCCAGAGGCATAGACAGAAGGATTTGGAACTTAAAGCCAGAATTTGACATAGCCAGTTTGAGGTTGAGTCATATGAGGCTTTCTGAAAAGTTCAACACCATCCCCCACAACAATCACCAATGAATGATAAAGTCAGAATCTGCAGTTCCTCAGCATTACCAGAGAACTTTACTAAGTACCAAAGGGAAAACAGTAACTTTGCAGTGAAGAAACCATGGAGAAACTACTATATAACAAAGTGATCAAAGCTAACATCACCAGTAACCAAACACATTAAAATCATGCAATCCCTGATATAATGCACTAAAAATGCACATCATTTCTGTGCTGTGAAAAAACAGCAGAGATAGTCTTATCATCATCATCAAACACAAACCAAGAGGCACTACAAAAGCAACTCCCCTGAAGTCATCAAAATTATCCAGAACTAAAAAAACAACTAATTGCAATGTGGGAAAGGCATCAAAGAAAAACAGGTTAGTTCTGAACAAGTTCAACAAGCTTAGCAAATAGTCTTATAACAAGACAGACCTATAGTGGCATATGCCATGAATCCCATCATTCAGAAGGCTAAGGCAGGAAGGAGATCACTAGTTTGAGCTAATGCAGATTATATAGAGTACTATGGAGGCTTGACTTATGTAATGAGGTCCTGTGTCAAAAAGCAAACAGAATCCCAATAAAAAAACAAGTAAATAGCTTGTACTAATCTTTACTTTTAACAAAAGTATTGATTTAAAAGGTATGACAATTATGAATAGAAACTATTTTATAAAGGCTTTGCAATTTTTCTGTAATAATAGTAGATAATTAGATCTACAGTTATTTTAAAGTGAATCACAAAGAAATCCAAAGATTCAAATTCTTTAATGAATATTGTTAGGTAGTTTTTGTTTGTATGTTTGAGACACCACGGTCTTATTATTAGCCTTGGATAGCCTGAACTTCCTATGTGGACCAGACTGGTCTTGAACTCACAAAAGTCCATCTGCCTCTACCCAGAGAACTAGGATATAAGGTGTGTGCTACAGGGCCCAGCTGAGTGAATATTGCCGAACATTAATGAGTGTTGTTGGGTAAACTAAGTATTCTAACATACTGGCTAAATGACACCTAAAATATTACTAGTGGGTCTAATCACTTTGTTGCTCTGTAACATGTCTGTCAAATAAAGATAGTATTTGTATTGTTCTTCTCCCAAGATCAAAGTAACTTTGTACTGAGTAAGAGATTCGACATTAAACAGACCTGGGTTTCAGACCAGCTGCCATAGTTATCTCTGTGAGCCTGGACAAATAAGTCAATGCTTCTATGGCACCATTTGCTCTTCTCTATAAAGTAAAGGTATAAAATCTGAATTTAGAGGGGTCTTTCACAAGAAAGAGGATATGAGTACCTAATAAATATAATGCATTTGACTTAGCAAGTAGAATGGAGTCAGAGTTCAATAAAGAATGGAAGTGTAACTGGGCAGTGGTGGCGCACACCTTTAATCCCAGCACTCAGGAGGCAGGGGCAGGCGGATCTCTGTAAATTCGAGGCCAGCCTGGTCTACAAGAGCTAGTTCTAGGACAGGCTCCAAAGCCACAGAAAAACCCTATCTTGGAAAAAAGGGTGTGTGTGTGTAACAGAATGGACATTGAAGATGATCATTATTGCTAAACTCAATTTATTAACGTAATTATGCACTGTAAAGTATAATAATTCAAATTCCAAATGAATTAATAATACATGATAATAAAAAATGATGCAGCTGAGCATCAAAGTGTTTTACTTACACAACAGAGGTATACTCAATGCATGTACAAAAGTTTGGCAATAGGAATTATCATGTTTAAAAACAGGCAAAACCTTGTCTATAAACAAGGAGGACACATGTTAAGAAATCCTTTAGAGGGGCTATGGAAATGGCTCTTAAGGAGGACCAGAGCTAAGCTCCAGCACCCACATTAGGAAGCTCACAACTTCTGTAACTCAAGTTCTAGGATCTGAGCCTCCGGCCTCTATGGACATCCATACATATGCATGTGCCCCTCCCCACCCCAGACACACACAAAGTTAAAATTAATCAAAATAAATCTTTAAAAAAAAAAAGAGAGAGAGGCTGGGCAGTGGTAGTGTACACTTTTAATAATCCCAGCACCTGGGAAGCAGAGGCAGGTGGATCTCAGATCACAGTGAGTTCAATCAAGCTCAGCCTGACTACAAAGTGAGTTCCAGGATACCCAGGACTATTACACAAAGAAACTCTCTCTAAACAAACAGAAAGAAAGAAAGAAAGAAAGAAAGAAAGAAAGAAAGAGGGAGGGAGAAAGAAAAAGAAAAAAGAAGAATCTATTCTAAAACAGAAAGAAGAATGCTGAGCTGGCAGAATGGCTCAGAGAGTAAAAGCATTTGCAGTGCATGCTCAACCACTAGAGTTATATCCTGGGGTCTGCATCTATAATCCCAGCACTCCTTATGGTAGGATACAGTGGGAAGGAGAGTTGCCTGAGAACTCAGGGGCCAGCTATCCTGGAGTACACAGTGTGGCAAAAACAACAAAACAGATTGCTTCAACAAGGTGAAGGGAGGGAAGACTCCCAACACTGTCTTCTGACCTGCACACACGCCCAATGACACATATCCCCATATACCCCTTAAAAATAATTAAAATAGCAGGCGGTAGTGGCATGTGCCTTTAATCCCAGCACTCAGGAGGCAAAGACAGATAGACCTCTGTGAGTTTGAGTCCAACCTGGTCTACAAAGTGAGTTCAAGACAGACTGCAAAGCTACAGAGAAACCCTGCCTCAAAAAAAAACAAAACAAAAACCAATCAAAAAAAAAAAAAACACTGTTTTATATAAGGAAAATCAATTTGATGGTGAAATAATTTTTTTGCACTAATACAAAACTGATAGAATCAAATATAAAACTATTTTAAGTTATAGATAATCTATAATTAATACTTGGACCTTTAACAAAAAGATTTCAAACTGTACTCACCTGATTGTGCAACAATCCTGACAATATAAGACAGTTTAAAATAAAAAAATCTCAAGTCTGCCATAAAGTATGGTTTTCAATATTATTTCTATTATGTTGGAGACTATTCTAAAGTTACTATCTATAGTCTCTCAATTTGCATTCCTCATTCAGAGTAGCAAACAAAATTGTACACTTACCTACACCTTGGACATGACTTAACATTACAGGGTTGTTTTCAGCTTTTTGGACATGAGGTGGATATTCTTTCCTACAAAAGGAAATTTGTATGATTTCATTCAAATAGGAAATGGAGTTTTCAAAACGACAAGGTCAAAGGACTACTTACATTACATTTATTCAGAGAAACTATAACTTGTCATGTTAAAAAGTGGAGCTATAAAATAAACTGCACTGGGAAAATACAACTAGAGCCAGACAGCAGTGGTGCTATCTCATTTAAACTGTCCGTCCACCAGAGTCGCAACAGTGGACTGACTGCTAGGACACACATTCAACAAACAAATTCAAATTACTGGGTTTTTCAAGGCAATCATTTGTTTAATTGAATTTTTCTATTTTTTTGGAAAGAAATGCCTCATTAATAGTCTTAAACATGCAGGTGCAAAGGACCCTCTGTCTTAGCCTCAAGTAGCTGGTATTTCAAGCACTACCTTTGCTGGCTTCTAAAGCAATGAGTTTGGACACTATATATTTAGGCCTCAAATACAAAATCTAGACCTTTCTCTCTTGAAATTTAACCAGTTTAAAAAATTCACATTAAAAATGTTGTCACAGGGGCTGGAGAGATGGTTCAGTGGTTAAGAGCATTGCCTGCTCTTCCAAAGGTCCTGAGTTCAGTTCCCAGCAACCACATGGTGGCTCACAACCATCTGTAATGAGGTCTGGTGCCCTCTTCTGGCCTGCATACATACACACAGACAGAATATTGTATACATAATAAATAAATAAATATTAAAAAAAATTTAAAAAAGTCACATATCAGCTTGAAAAAATTATGCAAATGAATACAATTCAAATTATTTTTGCATGTTTTTCATTATTTAAAAGGTAATGAATGAGTAAAATGAATAATGAACCCCCCCCCAAAAAATGAATGCTAAGTTTGATCTTGGCAATGTTAAATCAGAACAAAAAATGTTTCACATAAATCAATTATAGAACAAGCAATGTCTTGGTCTTTCTTATCTTGCATAGGACATTATGGCATATTTAAGACATTTTCTTTTTTTTTTAATTTTTTTAATATTTATTTATTTATTATGTATACAATATTCTGTCTGTGTGTATGCCTGCAGGCCAGAAGAGGGCACCAGACCTCATTCCAGATGGTTGTGAGCCACTATGTGGTTGCTGGGAATTGAACTCAGAACCTTTGGAAGAGCAGGCAATGCTCTTAACCACTGAACCATCTCTCCAGCCCAAGACATTTTCTTAAAATATTAAACTACTCTGTCAAACTTAATATACAAATATCATTATTTCAGAAGGGGTTTCATTATGTATCACAGGCTGCCTTAGAATTTGCAATCTTCCTGCCTTGGTGCTGGGAGTATAATCATAAACTACCACACTTTCTATGACATACAATCTAAATATAACTTCAATAACTAAGTGTCCTAAGTAGTATATATAAGTATACTAAGTCTGAGAAAGAATAAAATTTTTCCGTAGCTAGTATTGAGAGAAATCACTACGTAAGGAAAAAAAAAGCACTAACTCAGGAGGTCTAAGAGATATTTTTAAACATTATGTAAAAGTGTCTAAAAATACTCTTGTTTTATATAAGCAGGAAATCAAAGAAGCTATTCTCACAAATTCTCACACTATTGTTTAGTATAGTTTATTTAGTAGAGAGCAGTGCAATTCATTTGATTAAATAGAACACAAGTGAATATTCTTTCAAGGATTTAATATTTACACATAAAAGTCAAAGCAGTTAAATAAAAATGACAAAGAAAAGACTATTAAAAGAGGAGACAGAGGCAGATTTCTGTTGAGTTCAGATTAACTGGTCTGTAGCCACACAATTATTAAATGACAACTTTAGAACTGAATCCCAGCAACAATAACTAGAGCAACAGCACAAACATGTGAACAATTTCTACTCTGCCGAGATTTTTAATTTTGTGATGATATAAATTGTGAGGGTAGGGAAAAGGACTTTCCTTTCACACAGTGGTAGCAATGGTACCATTGAAAAGGGAAAACTGGGGATTTAACTCAGTGGTGGAATGTGTTTGCTTAGCCTGCATGAGGCTGTATATTGTTTGTATGTATGTATGTATGTATGTATGTGTGTGTGTGTGTGTGTGTATGTATGTATGTATGTAATTTTATCACTCAGGAGGTAGAGGAGGGTCAGAAGTTCAAGGTTAGGGCTGGAGATGGCAAAGCAGTTAAAAGCAATCTTAACTTCCCTTTCAGAGGACCTAAATTCTGTTCCCAGGGGGCACATACACACTTACCCCCAACTCCCAAACCCTCCCCACACACAGTCACCTATAACTCCAGCTCCTGGAAGAGTTGAGACAATGCTTCTGACCTCCAAAGACACCTGCACTCATGTGCCCAAATCCACAGGAAGATACATAGACACAGAATAAATCACCCCCCAAAAAAAGTTCAAGGTCATTTCACTATACAGAGTTCTAAACCAATCTGGGATATTTGAAGACACTGAACCAAAGAAAGAAGGCCTAGAAGCCCTGCTAGCTAGTTTTCATAGTACAGGAAAGTAATCTCTTCCTTGAATGATGTATAAATGACCACACCTTATTATGAACCTTTTAGTTACAATGCCAGTCAGTCAGGCAGGACAGGCCCACTGGTCTAATAGCGAATGAAGCTTACTGGGGTAGTCAGCTCTTTGCTGTTTAGATCTGAGGTCCTCTGCACAGGAGGGAATTCATGCCTAATACTAAAGACCTAGTCAAAAGACCTTGATTGGGGAGGTCATAGGTCATAGTAGTGACCTACTGCTGCTGGTTTGCCAAATAAACATAGTATCAAATTGCTTTCTAACTAAATATTTATGTTTATACCCAAAGGACAGAGCTAACTTCTGCCCTGTTCAGAGAAGTTTCTGTCTGAAATAAATGCCAGTTTGATGCAGAGACTCAGAAGTGATCAGTGTTAAGAAGTTTCCTGTTGAGTATTTAGAGCTGAACATGACATCTGTACACGCTCCTTCTTCCCCCCCACCCCCTAACACAAAGGCTCAGTGGGAAGTGTCAGAAGAATGAAAGAGCTGAGGAATGGGGACTAGCGGTATGAAATGTATTTTCTAGATGTAAGATGGTAGCTGCACTCATAAACTCTGAGCAGTGAAATTTACCTACACAAGACCTGTAAGAGCCTCAATGCCATCATGAATGGGGAAGAAGCTCATGGTGTCCCATCTCTCCTTAAGGAGCCACAGGCAGTTAACGGTTGACAGAAGAACCAGTAATTATTTCATAGTGGTATAGCCAGTGGTAAGTTTTCTGTGCTTAAGTTAAAAAAAAAAAAAACGAAAACCCCTCACCTGTGCTCATGCAAGGAACTCTAACTAAATGCTCGCAAGGGGGGTGGGGGCGCACGGGACATGGGGGACACAGGGATGGGGGAATGGACAAAAGGAAGAAGTAAATACTTGTTAAGGAGAGGAAGGGCTTCAGAGGGAGAAAGAGATGGATGGCAAGATATTGGGTGGATCAGTACATACTACATTTTATGAAATTGTTAAAGAATAAATTTTAAATGCTCAAAATTAATTTTTTTGAAGGGCATGTTTTCAGCTTCTAGCCTAGATGGTGCACATGCCTGTAATCCCAGCAGCTGGAAAGGCAGAATGATCAGGAGTTCAAGGTCGGCCTCGGTTTCATAGAGAGTTAAAGGCCAGCATGGACTGCAAGAGACTCCATCTCAAAAAACATTTTGGGCTCCTAACTATACTACATTAAACTTAAAATATTCATGTTTCATACAGTTACACAGCTATAATAAAGACTGACGTGAATATAGTAATACTTCCACTGTACTTCTGTCACCTATTTTTTAAATTACAGGCAACAAAAACATTAAGTACTTTGAAATGTTGAATATTTTTAACAAAAACCCCACAATTATTTACCAGTTACAAATAAACATACTGAAAAATAAATGATATATACTGTTTTAGTGAACTATGCTTTTTGCAATCTGATTCTTTGTACTACCATAAATTTCTAATAAGGATGAATACATATATATCATGTAATACCCACAATGCTAAAATGTATTGTAATATTACATGCATTTGCTTGTATTTCAGACTTCATAGATACTGTTTTCTTGAATGTTTTCCTACACAAATAAGAAAAGTCAGCTATTCTTAATTATATTAAAATAAAATGCAAACATAAAAATATCCCTTAACTCTGTGGTGGTGGCACACACCTTTAATCTCAGCACTCAGGAGGCAGGGGTGCACAAGACAGCCAGGGGCCCACAAAGAAATCCTTTCAAAAAAAAAAAAAAACCTTAAGCTTAATAAAAAAATGTTTCCATATGTATCCCAGATATCTGGGGTAGTACCACTAACCACTCCTGACTGCGGGAGCAAGGAGTGCACTACGACGCCCAGTTGGTTTCTCTGTATAGCACTGACTGCCTTTCCCTTTGTAAAAGTCTCTCGTGGCTCATACTGGGCTTGTACAACTTGGATTCTACTACCTCAGCTTCTCAAATACTGAGACTGCAGTTGTGAGCCACCACACCTGGCCAACCTTAGCCTCTTGTTTAAGGTAACCTTTACCAGTTTTCAACTACCATTTCCCCCCCCCCCCACTCTACTTGGCAACAAATTCAGTTCACACTAAAAAGCAGCAATATCTACATATTTCATTAGAATATTTCTGTAAGAAAAAGTTGTCTCCCAGTCCATTTTTACAAAGCATGTAAAATTCTATGAGCAAGGCTAGCCTGATCTACACAGTGAGTTCCAGGCTATGGACAGGTCTTGCTGTTTCGCTTATCCTGTGCTCTTCGTAACTCAGGCTACTCAAGTCATCCTGCTACAAAGAATTGGGTGATTTAACTGCAAATAACTTTATAGTTATTTTAATTTTTATTTTATTTTTAAAGAAAATTAGTCAGACATCAGCATAAATAAATAATAACCATCCATGCAATAGACATGCACTGAAAATTAGACTGAAACATTACCCACACATCAAATATCACAATGTTCTATGAATAGGTTTCCTCCAATTAAAATAGTAAGCTTTGTGATGAACTCCACTTTAGGGTATTGTTCAAAGCATATAAGCTGATAATTTATTGCTACACCCATGTTCTAATTTCATCAACATTAAGCTTACCTTTCTTTGCGGTCCTGATTGCTTAAAACATGAAAAAGAAAAAACATGTAAGCGGGAGACTTCACTGTTGGTATGTATATCATTGCAGTTGTCATAATGCAGTCAACAAGGCAAACTATTAATAGGAGCAATTGGTTTTAATGATATTTTGCATACACTATATGTTAACTATTAATTTTTTTCAATTTTGGTCAACATAAAATAAGTTGTCAAATATTTAATAGGAAGATATGGATGCATAAAACTAAAAATTCTCAGAAGAGGTTTACCTAAAGTATTTGATGACATATTATTTTATGACAGTCATAAATATCATTTTCAAGAAATGATATTTCTTGGAAATTACAAAAAACTCTAATAATTTCAGTTTTATTATATTAAAAACAAAGTTTCTAACTACACAGCAGTCTTAGAATAAATACTGTATGTTATTTAGGACACAAGACAAAGCCTAGGTTTATAACCATGGCCTCTTATCATAAGTCCAATGTGTAAAAGTTATTTCTACATTTTTCCACAATTCATGGCACCTCCAGAAAAGTAAAACTATAGTCTTCAATTTAGAATAAAATAAAACTCACATTCTGAAATTATTGCTCTCCATCATATAAAAGATTAATGTTCAAAATTGTAAGTAAAACAAGTAACAAAATTTTAAAACTACAGTAGTACATTCCTTCCACTAAAGTACACAACAACAGTACAATCTAACAAATTAAGTAAAAAGTAACCAATGAGCAAAAGACACATTAAAAGGCTGGCTGGCGGTGGCGCATGCCTTTAATACCAGCACTTGGGAGGTAGAGACAGGTGGATCTCTGTGAGTTAAAAGCCAGCCTGGTCTTCAGAGCAAGTTCCAGGACAGGCTCCAAAGCTACAGGGAAACCCTGTCTTGACAAAAACCAAATAAGTAAATAAATAAATGACACATTAAAACAGTTTTCAACAGTGAAGAAACAATATATCTACACTAACAGATCTGAAAGTGTACCTTTGCTACCCAAGACTCATAGAAAACTTATCTGTCAGATGACAGAAAAATGATAACATGGCATTTCTGTTGAAGTCAAGGAAATATAAATACCCAGGTTCAAACACAGGCTGGCTTTCTATCTCCCTTAGGAAGCTACAAACCCAGGAAACATTAAAACACCTAAAAGTGAGATACTTCTAACGTCGTACTGCTAATCCCAAGAGGCAAACAAGAACTCGAAAAAGAATTTTAAAACTCACCTGTAAAAAAGCAAGCAAACAAACAAACAAAAAACAAAAAGTATAGAATATAGAGCAAATAGGTTTGGTTCTTTCCACTAAACTGAGAGGCAGGAAGAGAAATTATTACCACCTTATCCTTGAAAAAAATACATTTTAAAGACAGGATGTCTTGGTGGAAGTGGAAGCCCTGGATTCCATCCTCAGCGACACACACACACATACATACACACACACATGTCTACACATACACATGATGTCTACTTTACAAATGACAACATTCCACAAGAAGCTTCAATGTATATACTATCAAAGCTCACACCAGATGGATGTACATGCATATATAAAAATAGATTAAACATGTGGAAGTTTTTAATAAAGCAGGACTTTGAAAGTGCCAACTTATACTCTTTTTTTGAACCATTTCATACAAAACGGCAAAAAAAAGCTTTAATAAAAGCTGTGCTAGTGGTCTTAAAAAGAAAAGGAGGGGTTAGAAAAATGGCTCCGTGGTTAAGAGCAGATACAGCTCATACACAGGACGCAAATTTAATTTCTGGCTCCTGTATCAAGGACACACAACTGCCTACAACTCCAGCTGCAGAGGATCCAACACATTCTTCTGGTCTCTGAGTACTTTTAGACTCACGTGCACATAGCTACACACGCACGCATGATTAAAAACAACAACAAAAAAAAACTTCACACAAAACCATGAAAATAAAAAGATAAAAATAGACACTGATTTAATTCTGATATTCATGTCTTGATTTAGGATTTCGAAACATCCAAGGTAGAGCCATCCATTAATAATCCAATCTTGCTTATTCTGGGACCCAGTTTCTGAGTATGGTTCATATATATATATATATATGAAACACTATATATATATATATATATATATATAGTATCTGAGAATAGGTCTCAATGAAGGCTAGCCTCAAACCAATGACCCTGTACTTTAGGCTCCTAAGTGGTGACTTTAAGACATGTGCTACATCCCACTGGATCACACATGTTTTTAAAGGCATTTATTTATTTTCCCCTTTAAAAGTTTCTAACCAAAGTTTAAAAAGAAAAATAATGATTTAAAAGTGAAATTAAAAAAAAAACATACAACTATAAAAAGTGTTAGTTTTTAAAGCTGCTTAAAAGTGGAGTGGAGCAGAAATGTAGACAGATTTTTTAATACTTGCAGCTCATTTTTCTCCATAATTTCCTTTAGCATTGTCAGTGCATGTGCCTATCTTTTATATATAAAACAACTTTTGGAACAGTAGTAAGAAAACAGATTAGAAAGTAAATTGTCTCCACCAAATGATACAAATCTGATATAATATTTGACAACTATCATCCCCCCTAAACTATCAATCTTCCTTAAAAACTACATACAAGCTACTAGAATACAGTGTCTGACATAAAAAACAAGCCCTATCTCTCTCTCCAAAAAAATGTTCTGTAAACTACCAAACTGGTAACAGTTCTTAATTTCAAATTAAGATTTAGGAAAAATCATAAAAAAGAAAAAAAAGTTCTTTTCAGTTTAGGCCTCTGAAGTGCTCTCAAAGGCTGTTTGCTGTATGACATCCTCCTGCAGGATCACTCTATGCCATGCTGTTCTCACAGGCAGTTTGCATATCCGAAATACTGAACTTACACCTAAGTCCCTGTCTCTAGCGTTGGAGCAGTGCGGTAGTGGTTAGGGCCCAGGGCCTCCCCCTGCAGTAGCCCTCACTAAACTCTCTAGTTGGAGATGTCTTCAAATCCAAGGCATTCTTGCTGCCTCAGCTTGACTAAGTGCTGGGATTACAGGCGTGTGCCAACATATCTGGACTCATTTATTCGCCTTCCTGTCCTTAACCATTATTCTTAGGTTCAATCTGAGAGGACGGGATTTAGCATATTAATCATCCAATACACGGTTTTCTTCCATACCTGTTTTGCAACATACAAACCCCTTTGTTTTTGAAGCAATAAAACTGAGAAGAACTTTCAATGACTTGATTTTGGAGTTCAAAATTCTTTAAAAGACAAGTCATATTTTCTCTTACACAGATTTGAGACAAACATGAGCGGACTCCGTGCTGCCACCAGAATCTTGAATGTGTTTCCCTTACTGCACATAGCATTCTGGACAGATATTCTGACTCAGGATTGTCTTGGGATAGGAATTAATTCTGGCAGCATTTTTAGAAAACAATATTTTTTTCCCATTAACACTAGCTCTTACCAACTAAATCTTATCATTTTCAGAGATGGGCAGCAATACACATTAAAAGACACAATACGGCAAAGACCTAGTATAAAACAACACAATTTTCTGACTTTAATCTTTTTGTGTAACCACACATCTTATTTTTTATCCTTTATCCTTATGTTAGTGCCCCATGTTGGCCTGAGAGCCTGATTTGTTAGTGTACCCTGCATTATAACAAAGTAAATTTTTGGTGTGAGCAGTAACTTCTGTCTATTGAACTGAATTTCTTAAGAATTTTATGTGAAAACTCCAATAACATATTTAAGAAAAGCAAGCTTTCATTTAGTCATCTTAAATTATGAGAAAAATTTAAAGATTTTTGTCAAAGATTTATTGTAGTAAATCTACATAAGCATCAGATGTAGCAACTTTCTAAGGTTTGAAACATCCTTTTTAAAAAAAAAATTACTAACAAGCTTAAAAATAAAGAATATATCAGGCAATGGAGGCACACGCCTTTAGTTTCAGCACTCGGAAGGCAGAGTTCAAGCAGCCTGGTCTATAGAGCAAGTTCCGGGACAGACTCCAAGGCTACAAAGAAAACTCTGTCCCGAAAAACCAAATAAACACATAAATTAACAAACGAATAAATAACGCTGTGTACATTGTATACAAAATAAATGTTAACAGTGATAAGGGCCTAAGGGCCTAAGAATCTTGAATCAATTGAAAAGAAATATTAACATTCTAAAATTGATTCTGAAAAAGCTAAAAATTGTTTAAAAGACCAATCTTTTCCCAACCATTATTTTCATTGCTTTAAGGATGAAACACTACTTTCAACATTAGTGAAAACTCCTAAATTTATTATAATATGACCAAACACTTTAAACTAAGGGGTTTGCTTGAAATTCTGAAATCTTAAAAATAAGTAAACTAATAAAAATTAGTTTTGCTCCTTAGGTCAACTACCAGTAGGATAGGTCAAGCTAGATCATTATTATTTATCAGTTTCATTAAGTATCTTCTTAGACCTAGAAAGTAATACAGCAAATGGTTCTTATTTTAAATTCTCCACAAAAATGTGACTTTCAAACATAAACTAAAGTATAACAAGTCATGAATTTTGTCAGAGATATAACTCTTCAGACAGTGAAAACTGCCAAGTTCTACACATGAAAGGGGTGAAAAACATTTTTAAAATTAAAAAAATGCTTAAAAAGAGGGAATGCTATAGTCCAAGGTAATGAGGTCCTTACCTCTGAGCTGCTGTTTTGACGCCTGGTATTTGTGCATGAGCATGATGGAAGCGTCTGCCATGAACTACAGTTCCAGAGCATAATGCTGCAGCTGGTGTATTTTCACTGCACATTCAAAAGCAAACAAAAGTTTGTACAGACAAAGTCACATACACACTGACAAAATAACCCTTTAAAATCTGAGCATACACACAAAAGCTGTGTGCACTAAAATAATATTACTAAGATAAATCTAATTAAACTTCTAAAATAGGCTACTAGGATACTTCCTAATATCTTTTCAAATATTTCCAAAACCAAGGGAAAAGAATAACTAAGATACTCAAGCAGAAGTCCAAAGCCTAAAACTTTAATTCTCCTAACTTGAAAGTTACCTGGTGTTTACAGATTTTATTGGGCTAGCTACAATAGAGTAGCTTTTCTAAAAAGAGTGATTTTTTTCAACTCCATTTATAGGATGTTACTGATACTAATAGCACAGTCTTAGGATAACGACAGTTTACTACCATAGCCAATAGGAAAGGAGTGTTTTATCTGAAGAAGTGGAATAAAATCTTTTAAGAGAAAAACAAGATGTTGAGATGACCTGAACTAGGACATATGTTAGTGAGTGTGAGCTGAAATGACCTGAACTAGGAGGTATGTGAGTGTGAGTTCCTGCATCTACTACACTGCCTTAAACTTCTAATGCTGTTGCTGATTTTTCTCTATACCAACATAAAAGAAAATGCATGAGATGTCACAATACTAAAATGTTTCTTACAATAGGCTTTATTCAGAAATCATTACAATTAAGCCTGAAATCAAGCCTCCAAGGGCACTGGAGAGATGGCTCAGGGAGTGAAGTGTTTGTTGTGTAAGCATGAGAACGTGGGTTCAGATCCATCCTTGTGCAAGCCTCGTGTGGGCCCCAACACAACACTGCCAAGGGGAGGCCATGCAAACCTCAGGACTCTCTGGTAAAACAGTCCACCTGCACCTGAAACAGCAAGCTAAAGGTTCAGTGAGAGACCATGTCTCAAAAAAACAAAACAAAAAACCAACAACAAAAAAAGTATTGGTCAAGTATACTAGTCCATACCTTTAACCAGCAGCAATTAGGGGCAGAGGCAGTACATTTGGATCTCTGAATTTGAGAATAGTCTGATCTACATAGTAAGTTCCAGGCTGGCCAAGGGCTATACAGTGACCAGGTCTCAAAAAAGTATTCTGTCTAGCTTCCACACATAAAGCGCACATGCATGCATCACATACACACAAATAAATGTGTAAAATACAACCTTAAAGGACTGGATCTAGCAAAGTAACTCAGTAGGTAAAGGCAAGTGCCACCAAACCAACAAAGCTGAGTTCAATCACAGAACCCACATGGGGGAGGGAACAACATCATGGCACATGTATGTACATATGTACACATGTACACACACACAATAAAGAAATGAATGCATGAATGTCTAAAAAATCTTTTTTAAGATTCAAAGAATCTAAGGAATGTCCTGGCTTTACTGACAAATTCAAAAGAAATGGGGTAGGGAAGGCCTCTAGTCACAAAGTAGAAACTTTTCTTTACCTTCTCTATAATACCTACACATCAATCTTTCTATTTTTAAAGAACTGTTTCAACTTTTAAATGTACCTCAGTTTTTTATTGTTGCTTAACATGTTAAGTCCAATTGGGTTGCCTTTCAAAGTTTTAAAACTGTCAGTCTTGTTTCGTCTTACATAGGTCTTCAAGATGAAATCACCAGAACTAGTAGCAACAATCTCAGACCTCCGATGTAACTGCAAAAAGATCAATAGATGTTAAAGAGTCAATAAACAACATCACATGGTAATTTATAAACAATACCTAAAAACTCATTTTAAAAAAAGCCAATTATGATGGCACACAAGGTGGAAGCAGGAGGATCACAATTTTAAGGTCAGCCTGAGCTACACATTTAATAAACCAGAGAGATGGTTAGGTACGCAAAGGCACTCACCACCAAGCCTGGCAACTGGAAGTTTGACCCCCAGGACTCACATGGTCAAAGTGGAGAACTGACTGTGTCAAGTTCTCCAACTTCCACAAGAGCCATGTGCACATACACACTCACACAAATGTAATTTAGAAATTTAAATGTGAATAGGACATAATGGGCTCTAATTTCAGCACTCTGGAGACTGGGAGGCAAAGCCAAGAGGATTGCCATAAATTTGAGGCTAGCCTGGTCTATACAGCGAGTTCCAGGCCAGCTGAGGCTATTAAAGTGATACTGTCTCAAAGAAAGGGATGATGTAGGAGTGTTTTCTATCTATCTGTTGCTTTCATTGGTTAATTAAAAAAAAAAAACTGCTTGGCTTGATAGGTCAGAACATAGGTGGGTGGAGTAGACAGAACAGAATGCTGGGAAGAAGGGAAGTGAGGCAGTCACCATGCTTCTCCTAACCAAGACGGATGGTGGTTAGAATCTTCCCAGTAAGCCACCACTTTATGATGGTACATAGATTATTAGAAATGGGTTAATCAAGATGTGAGAGTTAGCCAATAAGAGGCTAGAACTAATGGGCCAGGCAATGTTTAAATGAATACAGTTTCCGTGTAATTATTCTGGGGCTAAGCTAGCCGTGCGGGAGCTGGGCAGGACGAAAAGCAGGCCTGCTTGCCTCCATCACTACAAATCGGCGCCCAACGTGGCCAATTAAATCCACTTAAAAACCTGAGTGAGCTTAATTTTAAATGCAGAAAAAACAGAGTTTAACACGGCTTTTTGCTGTTTGCTAGGGCGTGCTGTAGATAAATTTCCCTGACTCAGCAGCCGCAACAGGAAAAAAGCTGTGGTTTTAAAACGCCACTTCCTGGGCTGTGCCACCATCACAATCTCTGTCTGGCTCCTGCAGGAGTCAGAGCTTTAGAACGGAGCATTTGGAGTAAAGTGCTACGGCTTGCTTGATGGCAATGTGGACTGCTGTGTGCCTGGAACTGTGCGCAGCTCAGGGGCACCAAATGGCTCTGATGCAGAAGCGGCTTGGCTCTGCCATGCTGAACTGTGCTGATCTCAGGCAGGAACTATTGTAATTATCATAATAACAGCACAGTTAAGGTTTAGACTGTGCAGGAAACAGGATGTACTGTATTTACCTCTACATGGCGCAACTTAAGTTTTTAAGACGTGCTTAACATTTTAAGAAATGCTTCTGGATAATAAAGAATTACAGATTCACAATAGGACAGATTCAGACATAGAGGACCTCTAAATGGGTCACAGTGTTGGATGGCTATACGTAGGCTTGGAAGAGAGAAAAAAAATAAAGACAATAAAGTTAATGCTTTTAAAAAAAGGGTAAAGTATTTAAAGAGAGAGTAAATAAAGAAAAGTAAGCCACATAAAAATGGAAAATTCACAGAGGGTCTGGATTATGTATTTTATTGTGTTTTCTTTGAAATTTTTGACTGTGAAGGAGCTAAGTACAAAAAAACATTTCATTAATGGGCTGCTAAAGATATCTTGACATCAGAATTTGGATCTAAGGATATCATGCTTTGGAAAAAGAGGAAAAGGAAGAGTGGGCCAGGCTGTGCAGGGGAAGGGAGAGGCGAACAAGATAAAAATATGCACAGCTATTGGAGACAGAGGGGGACGGGGTACAGTGGGAAGAAGACAGACCTGAGTGAAAACGGTTCAATTCTTTCCCCAAAGATAATGTGAATTTGTAGGAATAGGGAATATATTATTTTTCTTTCCATATAAAACTCTCGAAAACACTTAGTAAAATTAGAAAAATCTTGGGCTACTTTCCTCTCTAGAAAACAAAAACAACTCCTCCCCCCAAAAAGTTACAAGAACTAACTTTTCCACTGCTTAACAAACCTGCTGCCATCAGTAGGACAGTACTGCAAAATATGTGCCTTCCTCAGCATCAAAAAGTTTCTACATAAATACAAACCAAGTTATAAATGTTAACATAAACATACTGACAAGAGCCTGGGGAGATGCCCAATATTTAATCAACCTATCTTTGGTACGATTCACTGAATAAGGCAAAAGCTGCTTTCCAACAGGTCCTCAGTTTTTGTTTCCTTTTTCTTTTTTTTTTTTTTTTTAGTGGGTATGAGTGTTTTGTCCAAATGTATGTATGTGTACTGTGTAGGGATATGGGGTCTTAGACTAGAAGAGGGTGTTGGATCCCCTGGAACTGGAGCTGTGATCTACTATGTGGGTGCGGGTGCTGCTGGAAACTGAACCCAGGTCCCTCTTTAAGAACAGTAAGGGGTCTGAACCTGTGCCATCTCTCAAGCCCCAATATAAAAGAAAACCACATATCTATTTTACTATTTTTTACATTATTTATTTATTTATTTCCCGTATGCAGTTCTCTTTTTCCTCCATGTGTAGCAAGCAAATTTTACCCAGAGTGCCATCTCACTTTGGCCTTCCTATCTATTTTAATATCTTCTTCCTTCTCCCTCCTTAAAAAAATGCATATAAACTGAGAATATCATACAATCTATTTTGATCATATTTACTCCCTTTCCTCAACTCCTCCCAGCACTGGGATTTCATACCCACACAGACATATATAGTCTTGGTATATAGCCCTTACAGGATTAACACTCAAAACAAACCTCAGAATCCTGCTGGGATAACAGGCATGTGCCGCCACATCTAGCTTAATTTCTTTAAAAAATAAAATAAAACAAAACACCAATGTCTATGAAATCTAGACCAGGATAAAGTAATGGTCTTAATCATTAGCCCAAAGTAAATTGCACCATTTATTGGCTCTACAGAAGAAATTCTCTTAGGCACAAATAAACTGACAAAAGGAACAGAGATAACTGGGATAAAGTTAATGACATTCTTCTATTTTTCTTGAAGTAGATGCTTGCCTGCTATGTTCAAAGATAAGGGTTCGATTCCTGGCATAACCTTTTACCATGTGGGTCCAGATAACAAACTCAGGTCATAAGTCTTGGTTGCAAGAGACTTTAGGCATTGGGTCATTTTCACCAGTCCCAAAGCAAGCTATTCTTAATATATAGAATAAATGAAATATATTCAACCTTTGGGAAAAGTCAAGAACTTCAGTTTGCTTTCCAGGTGATGGTGGTGCACACCTTTAATCCCAGCACTTAGGAGGCAGAGGCAGACGGATCTCTGAGTTTGAGGCCAGCCTGGTCTACAAGAGCTAGTTCCAGGACAGGCTCTAAAACTACAGCAAAACCCTGTTTTGAAAACAAACAAACAAACAAAAAATGCTATAAGCAAAAGACTTACATTAAAAACCTATAAAAGAATAGTGGCACATGCTTAGAAATACATTCTTGTCCTTGAACACCTGGAAGCTAGAGGCAGGATGGAGAGTTTGAATTTGAAGTCCTCAAGCACTTCACTAATGAGCTGTCTCTCCAGCCCCTCAACCATGTTTCTGATTAAAGAACTGTATACTTTCAAAAAGTCCTTTTTGAAGGCAGATATGGTGGTACAAGTGTAAAACTAGAACTAGAAAGGATGAGGCAGGAGGATGGAGCGTTTAAGGTCAGCATAGGCTACATAGCAATACTGTCTCAAATGAATGAGTTATCTTTTTTGAAAACACATTAAGGGAACATCTACCAATGTCACATCAAAGCAAGAGTGTATATATAAGAAAAATTCTTAAATTTCTTATTTCTGATGCCTACAATTTCTAAAGAATAGATCATTTCACTCAGCAACAAAATAACCAGTAATTTTAGTTTCATTATGTCGTGGTTTGAATATGGAAAGTTGTGGGACTTCTAAATGGAATAGGCTTGCCAAAGAAAATATGCCACCAAGGGCAGGTTTGGAGGTTTTATAATCCGCCCCACTTCCTGGCCTCCCACTCCTGCTGCCATGCCTTCCCCATCTTGATGACTACACTTCCTCTCAACTCTCGGTAACTTAAACCCTTTCTTCCCAATTTACCTTTTGTCAGAATATTAACTACTTTAGTTAGAAACTATGAATCTCATGGAAACTATCATTTATTATATTGTCATTTCCCTTTAAAAAGGAATCCTTTACTATTGATTACACTTAGTATTTGGCTCCAGGAAAATCAATTTATCAATTCTTTTGTTTTCTTTCTTAAAAAAAATTTACTTATTATCTTGGTTTGTTTTTTTGGTTGCTTATTTTGGAGATATGCATTTAGTATAGTCCTAGCTGGTTTAAGAGAGATCTGCCTGCCTCTGCCTCCACAGTTATGGTTTTAAAGGTAAAGACCAGCATGCCTGGCTTTTTAATGTTTTCTTGAAGCAGGGTCACATGCATCCCAGACTGGTCTTAACTTCCATGTAACTGTTTGTTTTTTTTTTCCCGAGACAGGGTTTCTCTGTGGTTTTGGAGCCTGTCCTGGAACTAGCTCTTGTAGACCAGGCTGGTCTCGAACTCAGAGATCCGCCTACCTCTGCCTCCCGAGTGCTGGAATTAAAGTTATGCCACCGCGCGGCATAACTTCCATGTAACTGAAGATGAACTTGAACCTCTGATCCTGATATCTCCATTACACATGCACCACCATAGCTGGTTTATATGGTTTCACGTATGCTAGGCAAGCACTCTACCACACCCAGGCCCATAAACATATTTATTCCATAAGTACAGAATTGTAAGACACGTGCTATACAAGATGAGGAGTTGAGTCTGGATTCTCAAACCCTCATAAAGCCAGGCAGGCATGGTGTCCACTTGATATCCCAGCATTGGAAAGCAGACAGGATACCAGGAAAGTGGGGCTACCTATAGAGCCAAGTCAGCAAACTCTGGGCTAGGCAAGAAATTCTGCCTCAATAATAAATAAAGCAAAGATCAGCTAAAGAGACCTCAACTATGGAGCACAAGCACATAAGCACCCACACTCAACACACACACTTTTCTTTTTAAAAAAACACAAATACTATTTTACTATTTTAGATATCTAGCATATCTACTTTTTTCTCCTAGTAATTTTTAATAATTATGGTCTTAGTCACTAATACACCAAATTATTGAGGAGTGGGAAATATAGTCGTAACAAATATAATATAAATTGAGCCAGTTATGAATGATTATCTCATAGGTCAGAATATTACTGTTCAGCTGGGAGGACATCTTTAATCCTAGCATTGAGGAAGGCAGGTGGATCTCTGTGAGTTCGAGGTCAGCATGGTCTACAGAGTGAGTTCCAGGACAGCCAGAGCTACACAGAGAAACCTTGTCTCGAAAAACCAAAAAAAAAAAAAAAAAAAAAATCCTATTAATAAAAATCAACATGATAGTTTTGGCCCAACTCAGTTTTCCAAATAATACAAGCCAAATACTACTAAGAAATGGAGAAGATGAGGCTCAATTTGTAGAACGTTTGCTTGGCATGAGCGAAGTCCTAGAGATCTCAATTCCAAACCTCATGTTCGTGGAACAACCATCTCTCCAGTCCCAGAGCTATTTTCTATGGACCTTCACAGATGGCCTCCAGAACTCCAAGTGAAAGCAAGACTAGAAAACTTGTACAGTAAGTACACTACCAACCATACAAGGGAGTAAGGCCTGAGGTGCTACAGAGATGTCTGCTCCAGCTCCTTTTCTGGTTCCCAGTAGCCAAGGGATGAGGAGCCTCATAAGCTGTGTGCTTCCACCATGTTGCTACAGGCCCAAGCAACAGTGGACAAAAACAAACTTGAGGCAGAGTCAATTTTCCTCCTCTATTAAGTTGACTAGCTATTTTTTAATACCCATGGAAAGCTCAACTAAGACATTTCTATAGAGATAAATAAAAAATTAAAACTATTTGTGTCTGGAGTTGAGAACAGGAGCACGGTGACTTACTTATAAATCTATCTCCTTAAAAATGACACAGCTTCACTCTGTAACCCTGCTGGCCTGAACTCACTATATAGACAAGCTGGCCTTGAACTTGAGGCAAGCCTCATTTCTTTAACTCCTAAGTGCCAGGATTACAAGGTACAGATTACCACTTTCAGCCAATCTTTTAAATAACTTTTATGGGTATATAACACAAAAGAAAAAAAATATTTTGAGCAACACTTGCCTTTTTTCCTTTTGAGGTTTCAGAATCCTCATCTTCTACACTGAGTAGATTTGCCCCACTATACAGAAAATAAAGGAAGAAACCTTAAGCAACAGTTACAGTCCACACATTAATGCATCTGTTTTACTTCACTGCTCATCCAACTGGAGTCAGCAAACTTTTCTGCAAAGCCTCAGGCAGGCAAACATTTTAGGCTTCCCATATTGTAACTATATATACATTCCCTGTTACATCTTTACCATGGCAGCATAAAATTACCATAACATTATACAGCTGGCTGCTTTTCAACACAATTATGAACATCTAGGCACTGAGCAAAAAAGATAATCCGCTGACCCCTCCCTAAATGAACATATGATCTTCTTTGTCAGGCTATATATTTTATAATTAGTTATGTGCACTATTTCCTTTTCTGTCTTGAATTGACATCTAGAGAACAGAAAAGTAATAAAAGCAAAGTACTACTAAGGGAAGGAAAATGAGCTAAAAAGAGGAATCCTAAAGGTACCGGCACAATGACATCACATCACCCTTGGAGACAGCAACCTTTTGCTAGAACTAATGGCCATCATGCTACTACATTAACAGCTCACCAGCAACCTCAACATCACCAAAAAAATGAAATCCCTAAGGAACACAATAAACTGCAGAGTGGAATCCATACACGAGATGCATACAATGGCACCTAATAGATCGTTTTTAAAAGATAACTGTGGGAAATCTTCCAGAACAAAAATCAAATATATCTTTTTGATAATTCTGGTATATATAGTAAACTCCAAGCTATTTTTAATAAAAACATGTTTTGCTTCATTGTTATAGATCAACATTTATAATTATGTTAATACAAAAATTCTCTTCTAGGGGGCTGGAGAGATGGCTCAGAGGTTGAGAGCACTGACTGTTCTTCCAAAGGTCCTGAGTTCAATTCCTAGCAACCATATGGTGGCTCACAGCCATCTGTAGTGGGGTCTGGTGCCCTCTTCTGGCCTGCAGACATGCATGGAAGGAGTGCTGTATACATAATAAATAAATAAATAAATATTTTAAAAAAAATTCTCTTCTAAAAATTGTCTTAAAATGTTTGAAAGGTAAAGTATTTCTGCAGTAATTTCATATTTAGTTCCCATTTTTAAAAACTATGTAAATATTAAATATCTATTTAATGGGAAAAAATTAAAAATAACCAGAAAAAAGGGTAGGATGATTAAAAAAAAGGGACTTTATTGAAATAAATATATCAGTTCAAAGTTCTCTTTCAAATAAAATTACCTAAAATAAAGGACATGAAATAACCCCAAGTATTCAGCCACCATACTTGAGTGATAATGCTTTAAGAGCTGGTGTGGTGAAGCACATCTGCAGTTCCAGCACTAAGAGGCCAAGGGAGGACAGCTACAAGGGTAAGGCCACTCTGAGCTAGACAGGGACCTACAGCCTGGCCTGGGCTATAAAATGAGGCCCTCTCCCCAAAAATTAGGAAAATAAAATTTGTAAAAATGCAGTGGCACACAACTTAAATTTTTAGCACTTGGAAGTCAAGAGCAGGTGGATACTACAGGTTCCAGGCCAGCCTGGTCTATAGAATAAGTTCCAGGACAGTCAGGACTGTTAGACAGAGAAACCCTGTTTGGAAAACAAACCAAAAAAGTAAATAAATAAATAAATAAATAAAATTATATTTAGAGCTCTGCCTAAATTTTGTGTATTTATACGTCTCTGAACTTTTTTTTTGCCAGTGAAAAAGGAAGTCAGTAAACCAATAACTTAAAAATAGTATTGAATTTGCAACACGATTATCATAGTATGCAAAAAGTACTACTGTAACTCTTACTAAAGGCAGTGGAAGCACACTGTGGACGAGCACTCTCCAAGGTAAGGCCCTGACTTGATCTACAGGGCACTATCAAAAGCAACAACAAAACCCACACCTCTTTTGTAAAATTTCACACAGCACTGACTTCAAGCACATTAACACTGCTTTCACTTCTATCTAGACAATGCCTATACACAGCATCCAAACTGCTGTGTTTTCCCTGGTGGAAATGTGAGTAAAGGTGGATGTGGTGGTCACAGGTTCACAAGCTGAAAACAGAAGACTTAATCTTTCATATACAATTTAGAAGTTTTCGGATTGATTCCAGAAAGGCTGTCTTTTAAAGAGGAGCCAAGACTACTTGAGTTTGAAAAGTGTTGTCTAGTCATTCTTCAGTCATTAGAAAACATGTATCACATACACATACATTTTGAATATAAATATAAAGAAATATAAGCAAAATTATTTACCAACAAAATACTGATTTATCTCTTCTTACCGCAAAAAGATACCATATTAAAACTTTCCACAAAGTATTAATTGATTTTCTACTGAAAAGTTTCATTTTTATAAAGTATCAGAGGGAAATATCCTTACTCTTTATCTGCATCTCCTTCACTTTCTTCTTCATGATCAAAGCTCCAATTATTTTTAAAACCTCCATCTCTCTTAGATTCTGATCTAGCCAAAGCTGAAATAAAACAAACTGAAATAAGTATTCATTAATGTAACTACTGAATATAAAAAGAATTTGAGCTTTTCCCAAACTCTGATTGTTCTAATTTATTTATTTATTTATTTTTTGATTTTTTCAAGACAGGGTTTCTCCGTAGCTTTTTGGTTCCTGTCCCGGAACTAGCTCTTGCAGACCAGGTTGGCCTCGAACTCACAGAGATCCGCTGCCTGTCTCTGCCTCCCGAGAGCTGGGATTAAAGGTGTGCGCCACCACCGCCCAGCAAATTTTTTTAATCTTAATGCTTTTTTAAAATTATTTTTGTAAGCAACTTACAACTCCAAGAGGGGAAAAAAAACATATTAAAAGTTGGTTTTCTAATGAGATATGTCTGTGTCTACTACAGAAACAAATTACTAAAACAATAAAATGGGGAAGGGCACGCATGTTTATTTAAAATATATAAAATCAGTCTTACTCTCAATCTTTGATCACTGATCCCAGAAATTAGTCCCCTGATTTAGTCCTCTTGATTTATTCATGAGAACTACATCCGGCCACTAACATTTTCAATAGACTCAATCACCTCTGCCTTCTCACAGAAGAGAAACAAAGCATGGCCTTCTGTGTTGGCAAGGTAGTCAATCTGATAAGCAGAATCCTCCAGATCACCAGAGATATTATTAGAAAACACACAACAAGTGGGAAGGGTGAAATAAATGCCGTTTAAAAGCTAAGATCTGTCCTGGAGCCACAAGACAAAAGTCTAACTTTCTAGAGTTTAAGCTTTAAGATTAAGTTCAGGGTCTTAATGTTACAAGAAGTCAGACTGACCCAAAGGGTAGGAAAAAGAAAAATGTAACTAGTGATGACCTACCCTTTGATCTGGACTTGCCCCTTGAATTACCGAGGACAACATATATCCTATCCATCTACAAGGTCTGGTGGGGAAGCAAAAGCTCAGTGATAGAGTACTTGTCCACCATGCTACAGACACTGGCTTCAAACCCAGCACCATAAAACATAAATAAATAAAGTGAAAATATAAAGTGTATCTAACCATTGGCTGCAACCATGAATGCAGCCCAACACGAAATTGCAAACTTACTAAAAATATTATGAGATTATTTTCTACTTAATTTCATGATTCTCATTCATTACCTCTGTAGGTTACAATGCCAAAAGGCTAAACATCCATCTCTCAAAAATTCAGATTTTTTTTTCTTAAAGTTAAGGATAAATTCATTAGTTTTTTTTTTTTTTTTAAGGCAGACAACCTGAAAATCTTGGCATCTTCCCAGTGAAGAAAAATGGAGACAGGAAGGGAAAAAGTTGGTTGAGTTAAGTCAGCAGGTAAGACAGCCACATGGCAAAAAAGCAGTCAAATAGTGGGAGGTGGGCTTTGGAGAAAGAATAAGAAAGTAGTATAAAGTTCTAGAAAAAGCATGCTTACTCTCTGGCCAGCACGCAAAAGAAAGAGACAAAAAAGAAAAAGGAAAAGTTATATTTTCTTAAGTCAAGCCTTAGAAAGACAGGACCTCTTGAAGGATTGATTATTGTGAGGACTGTTCCGAATTCAGATTTAAAAAAAAAAAAAACACCCCAAAGATAATAGTGCTAAGAGTAGGAAATTTGGGAGATATGGGGCAGAATCCACAGCGATGGGATAAATCCTAAAAAAAGAGACCCATGGAAGTTGGTTTACCCTTCCTCCATGGGAAGATATAGTTACAAGTTGCCATGTGTGAGGTAAGAATCTGGATACCCTGACTTCACTGTCTAGCCTCCAGCACTGAGAAATTCATCTAGAGCTTGTCATGGTGGTGAATATCAGTCAACCCAGTACTTCGGAGGTTGAAGTAAGATCACAAGTTCATGGCCAGCCTGGGCTACACAGAATTTGAAAACAGCCTTAGATACATAGTAAAGACCCCATCCCACTCCCAAAAAGTCAACAAAGACAAATGATGAAGTCTGTGAAACCTTTAACATCACTACAAAGACACTAGGTAGAGCATTCTCAAACACAAACCCTCAATTACTAAGAGACCAGAATTTTTACAATCTATGTGATATAGAAGTCTATAATTAAAACAGCTTCCTTTTTGGTCAACAAAGGGCATCAGAATTTGGAAGCGCTGCAACTAGACATTCACAGTACGATGCCTTCTTTAGAAGTTGGCCTGTGGCAAATTTACTACTTTACTGTGAAGGCTAGTTTTAGTTCCTAAGCTAATAGACTCTAGAATCTTGTGGGGATGCAGTTTCTTGTGGGGTTGCCTAGATTAACTGGCCCATGGACATATCTGTGGAGAATTGTCTTGATTGTACTAACTGAGCTGGGGAGGACTCATCCACTCTAGATCCCTGTGTTTTGGGATCCTGTAGAAAAAAACCTGCCGAGTGGTGGTGGCTCATGCCTTTAATCCCAGCAGGCGGCTGTGAGTTCAAGGCCAGCCTGGTCTAAAGAGCTAGTTCCAGGACAGGCTCCAAACCCGTCTCTGAAGAAAAAAAAAGGAACTGAGCATATGCATGATTTTTCTCTCTGCCCTTATCTAGATATGACCAGGTGTTTCGATCTCCTGCTTTCCTGACTTCATTCAAGCAATGGTAAACTAATTTTGTGAGCTAAATTAAACCTTTCTTCTCCTAAGCCACTTTTATCATGGTATTTTATAACAGCAACAAAAACTAAACCGGGACACTTAGCAAGTACAAAGAAAAGTGTAACTGGGGCACCAAAGTGAAAAGCCAAACTAACCTAGAGTGCCAGTCAAATGAGACCCAAAATTATATACTGGACATCACAAACTCTTGTTCCATACTGTTTTGTGAATGAACTACCCAAACTAAGAGGATAACATGGCAGCAGTCAGTCACTATTGAGAATGTTAGTCAAGACTCAAACAATAAATGCTCCATGTTTAAAAAACCAGAGGTTAGAGGGAGGGAAGGCCCTGTGGGTAAAATTGTACTGGCTGAACAATTGTGAAGACCAGATTTTGACCTCCGCATCCATGTAACAATGTGGACAGACACTGGAGTATTGTTGGGGCTTGTTGTTCAAAAACAGCTGAGAAAATGCAAACCCCAAGTTCAGGCCGAGACCTGCCCTCAAAAGGATTAGGTAAATAGTGATAGGGAGACTCCCAATACCCTTTTCAGATCTCCTCATGCACACACAGGAGCATATAGCCACATGCAGGCACAATACACATAGACAAATATACAAATAAGAAAAAAACAAACTACAGAACTGGTTAGATATTAACCTCTCAAATAAAGGACACATTCTCCTTAGAAAAAATTTTAAATAATTTTATGTATATCCCCTGAGGGAATTTCTTCAGAATAGGCCAGACTTAGCTCATTTCAACAAACAAACACATGAAAACAAAAAAGAGGATTTAGAAAAGCAGAGAGCCAGGCGGTGGTGGCACACATCTTCAATCCCAGTACTCAGGAGGCAGAGGCAGGTAGGTCTGTGAGTTTGAGGCCAGTCTGGTCTACAGAGCAAGTTCCAGGACAGTCCCCGCTATACAGAGAAGCCCTGACTGTGTGTGTGTGGGGGGGGGGGGGGGGAACCAAACAAACAAAAAAAAAAACAAACAAAATGGAAAGTGGAGAAATCCAACCAACACTTCTACATTCAAGTGTCGAAGGTTCCATCAACTGTGATGTTATATTCACAGCATCACAACCTTTAATACAGTAGGAGAGAAAAGCTGCCATCTCCACCTGCACAGTGCAACGTGCCCTGTCTAAGTGGTGCTGGGGATATAAACTGCGTGTCATGCATAGCAGGCAGAAAGTTCAAATCCTCAAAGATCCTTGGGTATTTACATGCCACCACACTGTTATGAGTAACACTGGTTGTTTTGTTACTATCTTAAATTATAAACAAAGTTTCTTCCATTGGTAGGAATCAAACCCAGGACCCTGTTCATAACAGGAAAGCACTCTTAACACTAAAGCCATCTCTTTAGCTCAATACATTTTTTTCTTCTATATTCTCCACCAAAATAACAGTGATGTAAGAAGAAAAACAGAGGCGATAATAGTAAATGAAAGATGCAACAAAAATAGCAAAAAGGGGCTAAAGAGATTGGTTCCCAGCGCACACATCTGCTAGCTCATAACCACATGTTACTCAAGAGGATCCAACATCCTCTTCTGGTCTCTGAGCACCCCCCATCACATTTATGTTAACACACATATATAATTTTAATCGTAGGTAGGAACTATTTTAGTTGAACCTGAAAGAGGGTAAGGGCAGTCAGTACAGGGGATGGTTTGGAGGGAGGAAACAGAAGGAGAAATGTTGTGATTATACTATAATCTCAAAAAATAAAAAGATTAAAATAAATTATTTTAGTAGGACATGTTCAATCTAAAGAATTCAACCAAAGATTATTCTCCAGAATAGAGAGAATCCATCATAGAATACAGATGCTGGGGGCTGAAGAAATGGCTTGGCGATCAATGCAGGTATGGTTCCCAACACCTACATGTGGCCGTTCAAAAGCACCTGAAACTGGAACCATAAAGAACACAATGCTTCCGGCCTTCACAGGCACCTGAACTCATGTGCACATACATCGCCACCACAGGCAGACAAGACCCCTCTACCACAGGCAGTCAGACATAGACATACTGACACACACACACACACAAATAAAATTAAATTTAAAAGTTTGTAATTAGCTTTCTGTTGCTTTGATAAACATCAACAAAAAGCAACTCGAGAAAGAAAATGATTTATTTGGCTTATAAGTTATAGTTCACCATTGAGGGAAGGCAAGATAGAAATTCAAGACAGAACTCTGAAGGCAAGAACTGAAGCAGAGACCAAGGAGGAATACTGCTTACTAGAGTACTTTTTATGGCTTGCTCGGCTTGCTCTCTGATTCAATACAGGCCCACCTGCATCCTGATGGTACCGCCCACAGTGGGTTGACCTCTCCTCCATCAATTAGCAATTAAGAAAATGTCCCAAAAACATGCTCACAAGCTAATCT